GGCTACGTCCTCGGCACACTCAAAAATATTGTCCGTTTTAGTTCGTAGAAAGTAGTCTCTTTTTAGTCATATTCTGGATTCCAAAATCCTTGTTGAGAATAATACTGTCTTCAACTATTATCATCAATATTACCCAAGTCAAATAATGCAATGCAATCTTTGTTCAGAAATTCATGAGAAGGAAAAGTAAAATAATAAAAATCTAGCAAATTTATAGAATTTGTGATCAAGTCATTGTAAACTTGAAACCGTACAAATTCCCAAAATCCTACAGTATGGGCAGTATTCTTAATATCTACTAACACACTCCCCAACTTTATATTTTTAAAAAAAGCAACAACAGAATAATTTGGTAATTTTGTAACTGAGTTTAACACTGAATTAATGAATATGACCAATCGCATATTCTCGCATCGTCGGATACCCACGGCCGAACCATTATCATTCATCATTGATTGCATGTTATGTGACATGTTTATCAATCGTGGGTATCCGACGATGATATTCTCGGTGCTTTCCGTCAAACTTCGGATAAGAATATATCCAATGGCAATGTCGGCAATTTCCGTCAGTCTTCAGATAAGGTTTTCAAACCGATTGGAATAGAGTCTACTTCATTGATAATAGCCGAGATGTTCAGATTGGAATATGACCTTCCTAAATGTATAATGAGGAAAAAATGTTGTCGGTTATACTCGCCGTACACTGACAGTTTTATGCTAATCAGAATACCACATGATAACAAAATGAATGACCAAAAAAAAAAAACACAAAAAAAACACGCCATATTCCATTGGTCGGGTTTCCTATATATCGAATTGAAATCTATCTTTACGTACTAATCTCAAAACAAATGTATATAGGCTCCTGCACGGTAAATTTTATATGGAATAATATTTTTCTCCAAAGAAGATCACTCGCTCTATTAACATTTTTTTTTCGAACACTCGACTGAACGGCCATTCCTAGCATTTTAAAACATCATAGAAATCCTCCTAACAAAGCCACGCTTATACATATAATCAAGGTGTTCAAATTACTTTAAGAAACAATGAAATGCAATATTGAATACATATTTATATACATGTATTTATAAACAAACACCTTAATACAGCTAGGTCTTTTTATTTATAGTTTTGCAGGTACCGGATAAACGCAGCCATGGCAATCACGAACCTAATTGGATACATGATTGCTGGGATCATGCGAGTAATCATATAATGAATCCTTTCTGCCCACACTGCTGCCAATAAGTTATAACTTTTGAAAAAACGTTTGGGAGAATGACAATGATATTGATTGATTCGGGAGATGTATCGTGATGATGATGTTTTGTTTTGGTTGTTGGGGGTTGAAAATGATGGATTATTAGGTGAGATGAAAATGATGGGGGTGGTGACAATGAGGGTGATGAGGGGTGATAATGATGATGGTTGTGGTGGGGGTGGGGGTAGGACAAGAGGTGATGATGTTGGTTGGGGGTTTGGGTGACAAGAGGGTATAATTTTATGATGATGGGGTGGGGGTGGTTGTATGACAATAAGATGATATAAAGGTGGTGGGGGGTTTGACCAATGAGGGTGATGATGTTTATGAAGGGTGGTGGTGGAAATGATAAATGGGGGTAGATGTGGGGATGATATGGATTTTGTTTTTTTTGGGGTGGGGGGATGATGGTGGTGGAGATCGTAGTGACAATGATGATGATGATGGTGATGATGGTGGGGACAATGATGATGATGATGTTGATGATGATGGTTGAAAACAAGTAAAGTGTGACTTATGTTAATTCCTTTTCTTGCAATAGGAAAAATAGGCACACATTTGGTTGATTCCAATTTATATTCCCTATAAAGTTTCATGATCCTTGAAATGTTTGATTATTAGTGATGATGAAAATAATGATGATTGATGATGAAAATAATGATTATGATTGATGATACAATTAGTGATGATGTTGATATGATGATGGCAATCGTAACGACAATGCTGATGATGATAATAATGTTGATGATAATTTTGACATTCAGATATTTTGCTGTCGCTCAGTGTTTCTTTCATTGAAAGCTTCAAGACACTTTCGACAACTATTAAAAGCAAACATGCATAAACAGCTTTGAAAAAAAATTGGCTCAAAATTTTGAGAAATGTTTAAATACTCACAATCAACAGGTCAATGAAAAATTGGTTATTATTATTATTTTCATCACCGTTAGAATTATTCAATCACTTTTTTACACTCTTTATAATATTCTTACCGATTACACATATAAATAACATTCAAATGTATACAATTTAGATTGCACCGACGCACCGACTGTTGACCATGGAAGTCATAACAGCGTCTATAGTAAAACTGTTAATTCGACCTTGACCTACACCTGTGACACCGGATATTACATCACTGGACCGGAAGTAATTACCTGCGTTCAGAGTGATTCAACAGTGCAATGGACAGCACCACCTGTTTGCAATAAAGGTAAGTTTAATATAAAGGTTTTCTATAATGTTCGTCCTTATAAAAGTAATTAATATTGGTGTTTTGGCCAGTATATGCTTTGATTTATGGTATTAGCCAATGTCTATTGTGCTATCGACCAATATCTTTTTTAGGTATCGGCCAATATCTATAGTGTTAATATCGATTTTTTCTTTCGTGAATTCTAAAATGTATTCTATTGGGGAAACTAGAAACTTTTTTAAACTTTAAGGGAAATCACTTTTTTCGGGGTTTTTAATTTTACATAAGTTTTTTGTGGGGGGGGGGGGGGGTGGGGTCTTTTGTATTTTTTAAAAAAAAGGGGGTTTTTAAACGATGTTTTCAAAATGGGTATTAAGAATTAAAAGTTATGATATTTGGGCATAACCAAATTTTTTATTCCCTTTTTTAAATAAATTTTTACTTTAGTTTTTAAAAGACGTTTTTAAAAAAAAACCCCATAAAACATTAGGCCTAAAATTTTTATAATTTTTCATAAAATGCCATTTCAAAAAAATTAATAATTCAATGTAAAAGTTTTAACTTTTTTTAAAAATCTTTTTAACTGATCATTTTTAATCTTTTACTTGTTCGTACTAAAAATGAAAATGGGTTTATACGTTATCAATCGAAACTTTTTGGCCCTTTCCGTCAGTCTTCGGATAAGGATTGATTATAGCCGAGGATGTTCCGATTGATTTGTGTTCAAGTTTGCTTGAAGGGTGTATTGGTGAAAAAGGGGAAGGGAAAATGTAACTTAAGGATGTTTAGGATCAATCAATTCCTGTTTTTGATCTAGTTGTATGAACTATTTGAATAAGTCTATTCTGCTATAGTTATGTTCCCTATACTCTCTCCAACCTTCGTTTCACTCTCCCCAACCTTCGTTTCACTCTCCCCAACCTTCGTTTCACTCTCCCCAACCTTCGTTTCACTCTTCCCAACCTTCGTTTCACTCTCCCCAACCTTTGTTTCACTCTCCCCAACCTTCGTTTCACTCTCCCCAACCTTTGTTTCACTCTCCCCAATCTTCGTTTCACTCTCCCAACCTTCGTTTCACTCTCCCCAACCTTCGTTTCACTCTCCCCAACCTTCGTTACATTCTCCCAAACCTTCTATATCCTCTCCCCAATCTTAGTTTCACTTTTCCCAACCTTTGTTTCACTTTTCCCAACCTTTGTTTCACTCCACCCAACCTTCGTTTCACACTTCCCACCCTTCGTTTCACTCTCCCCAACCTTCGTTACATTCTCCCAACCTCCTATTTCCTCTCCCCAACCTTCGTTTCACTCTCCCCAGCCTTCGTTTCACTCTCCCCAACCTTCGTTACATTCTCCCAAACCTTCTATATCCTCTCCCCAATCTTAGTTTCACTTTTCCCAACCTTTGTTTCACTTTTCCCAACCTTTGTTTCACTCCACCCAACCTTCGTTTCACACTTCCCACCCTTCGTCTAACTCTACCCAACCTTCGTTTCACACCTCCCAACCTTCGTTTCACTCTCCCTAACCTTCGTTTCACTCTCCCTAACCTTTGTTTAGTAAGTAGATAAAATTTCTGTATGCATTATCTTATTTTAGGTTGTGACGAAGCCCCTGAAGTTGATCACGGTAGTCATAATAAGAACTACAACAGGACGCTTGGTGCAACTCTCTTCTACGTTTGCGATGACGGTTATTATATGAAAGGACCGGAAGTAGCAACATGCGAAAAATCGGGCGGTTTAGATCCAAAATGGTCCGAGACACCTCAATGCATCAAAGGTTAGGGTTTGTTACATTACATAATCAATATCGGACCCCTATTCCCCTCCTCAAAAAGAAAAAAAATCTAGATAGGACTTTGATTTCTCTATCTATAAGTCTATAACTGATCTTCACAATTAAAAATTGTTTGACTTACGCATCATGATCTCACTTATTGAAGGCCCTTTAAAGTTTCCATATGTCTGTACGCTTTAAATAGTTCTCTGTTTCCGCATAGTTAGATGTTGCGGTGAATAGTAATCTCATAACGTAAGGTGAAGATAAAAATATTTAACTAAATAACACGATGTTATGACAAACATGAGGTCATGAAAATCGTCTGGTCAATTTCGGATTTTATCGTGTACATGGCTTTCAGCAAGAAGTATCAATAAAACACTTTGTCGCGATAAAACCTGGTGTAAACGTTACACGTTTATGTCAGAGCGTGTGTTTTCAATGCAGAGATAATGTCAATGCTAAGTAATGTTAAAGCACATTGAATACTTAAACGGTACGGTAATTACCCGGGCAAGGATGGCAACTAGCCATTAGACTTTACCGGAACTCAAGATTAAAGCAAATATTATACGACCGAAAAAATGATATGTGCATCAATTAAGATCATACATATGTTCTAATGTTCTCACTCGGAATAATGCATAGTAAATATTTTTTCATCATGTAAAACTTTCTGTACAAACACTCTTTGAGAGACACATACATTAATTTGGTTGTTACTGAAAAATGCTTTAGAGACTGTATATAAGTTTATTGTGAAGGCTAATTTAGGGGAAAAACACTGTAGTTATAGGAAGGAAATTGCTCTATAGCGGGTCGCTTTGTACAGGTTGAATCGTACTTGCAAATGTCACTGTCAAAATTCACCTCCAATGATCAAAATAAATCATGATCAATTTTAAGCATGTGGCGTACATTACATACATGTGCATGTATATCAACTATGGGTATATTGTTTAAATGTAAATACATAAAAACGTCACGTGATTCATGTTCTATTTTCATTGTAGCCACGTGCCCTGCTGTGCCGGAAATACTGTACGGATTTCACGAGACCGTTAATTCAACTGCAATTGGTACTTCCGTTAAGTATTTTTGCAATGCTACCTTTGAGATTCTCGATGTTGACACCATTATATGCGAATTGAATGTAACAGCCAAAGTACCATCTTGGTCAACGCCCTTACCACAATGCATCGGTAAGTCCGTCCCCGGAAACGGTGCGCCCTAACATTTTTCTCTTTAGTTTCATTTAAGTTGACGCTATCAAAATGTGACTTTTTCTTTTCTTTTTTAACTAATTAATATGGAGAATAATATATTCTATATATACTGGTAAAGACTGGTGTTTATTGTATTGATTCATTTATTTATTGATTGATTCATTCGTTTATCGCAATTTGACAAGAAAATCAGACAAAAGTCGTAAAGCGCTTAAAAGTTGCGATTTGCCGCATATATGGGCAGGAGGTCATTAAGTACACGTATTAACGCGAGTAAACTTTGTAACAAGTTCCTATGTGATTTCTTTTATAGGTGGTTGCCAACTGCCCAGTTTTTCAAAAGGTTATATTCTGTTACCTGGAATGGTAGTTACAACCGAGGGGCCAGTTGCTTCTACTGCGGCACCAACTGAGCCACAGGTCATGACGGTTACTGAAATGGAAACCACGACAACGGTTCCGGACACCACAACGTCAGAAGAAGCCACGACAACAACTGAAGCACCAATGACAACAACTGACCAACCTGTGACAACGGAGGAACCTGTTGCTACAACATTAGCACCTGAAGTGACTTCTGACTCGGTTAACACTGCAACTGATGTATTTATCAAAACAAAAGGAACCACTGTATCAGCATCCGTTATACCAAATGATGAAGATGACTCTAACATGACAGATACCACGACAACAAACTCTAACATTACAGATTCCATGACAACAACAACAACGCCTGTACCTGATACAGATATGCCAGACACAACTACCCTAGACACAACTGCTGCACCGGAAACCACAACAACACCTAAGCCAACGACGACCACAACACAGCCCACAACCACTACAACAACACTTCCACCGACCACCCAGTCACCGTATGCATACATCGGAAACATAACAACCTTTAGAATTAACGAGACGATTATTTTTCAATGTAATCCAGGATACACCGTTATTTCCACGGCAAACCCAAATTATGTTGGAAGCAGTGTGTCGGCCGATTGCAAACTGGTATCAAATGTTACTGAAAATGGCGTCGTGTCAAGGACAACTTCCTGGAGTACAACAGCATTCTGCGTCCCATGTTCGTAACCTTAAACTGTACTTTTTCCTTTATTATGCTAATCGATGGATAATGAACGCTATAGAATAGAAAAACATTGACTAATATCGACATATTATTATTTGGTAATATCAATTTATATTGGGTATTGTCTGTAAAAAAGATATTAGTTCCGTAATAACCCTTTGATAATCGTTGACGGGTTATTTGTCCGGCAGATACCGTATATAGGATGGCGAATAGCCTTTTTATAACCGGAAGTCGATACGAAAAAAAAAAATCTAACCGCGGCCAATAAATGAAATATCAACGTATTGTTGACTAAAGATGAACTGCCTACAATATGCTTTTTTTTATCTTTCAAGCTTTCCCATCCATATGTACATGCCTTAGATTTCAAAAGATGTAAAAGGTCAGGTGACACAAAATTTATTTATTGGTTTGAAAGATTTTTGTCGAAGTTAAAATGGCGGTAACAGGACACTGTATAAATTCACTTTAAGCATTTAGGTTTGATATTTTTTTTTGAAGATTGCCCAGCAGTCGAGGAGGTCCTCTACGCCAATCATACTATCCCTGCTAACACGCGCCAAGGTGCCACCGTAGAGTACTCGTGTAATGATGGGTTCGAACTTGTTGGGACATCACAGGTTACCTGCTTACCAACGGGAAAATGGAAGCACCTTAAAAAAAATTGAAAAAAAATTGCTAAAATCACAAACATTTAACCTTTTTTTATTTTTAATTATAATCAACTTAAAAAGGATGATGGAGTACTCTTCCCTGCTGGTTAAAGGTTTTTATCTTTTACAAATACATGTAAGTTAAAGTTGTTAAATTTGTTTTGCACAACTTATTGAAAAACCCCGCTTCCAATCATAAAACATAAGTTAAAAGTTGAATGCTATAACAAAACGTTAAAGGCAGGGAAAGGGCCCGAATTACATTTCTTATTAGTGTTATATTTCTTGTAAAAACAAAACAAATGGGGTATTCAAAAAAAGAACTTCTTTTAAAAATTTATTATTACATAGTCTGTAAAAATTCATTAAATAGGGGCGCATTACTATGCCTTGTTTGAGCAAAAATTTGATAATTTTTTTTTCCCGCATGGGGTTTAAAAGTAAAAACCTTTAATTTGAACCCAAAAATACCGACGTTAATAAAGCCCCCTTTTGACGGAAACCATGAAACCCAAAAAGTTTTTTCCCCCCTTATTTAAAAAAAAAAAAAAAAAATTTAAAAATTTAAAAATTTTATAAATTTTTTTCAAACTTTTTGCCAATGAAGGCCAAATTTGATTTGTTTTTCATGGGCATCAGGGGGTCTTATGTTGTAACATAAAAGCAGATATCCACCCTTAGGATTTTTCTTTGAAAAAGGCATTATTAAAAAAAAATTGTTTTTTTTGGTTAAAAAGAAAATTAAAAATATTTGAAAGGTCGTAAAGCGACCCGTTTTTTCCGGGAAACTGAAAGGACATTTTGCTTGGGGCGGCCATTAAATTTGCAATAGGGGGATCTAAAAAAATTAAAAGGTTAAAAAAATTTTTTCGTGAGCGCGTTACAATGAAACCATCACTAAGCAAAAATTTTAGCTTTTTTTGCTAAAACATGGACAGAGAACAAAGACCAAAAAGATCTTAAAAACACCAACCCTGAAAATACACAAATTTATAAAAAAGTTAAAAAAAAAAAATATTAAAAAAAAAACGTTTTCCAATTTTATTTTTTTCTTGCAATTTTAAAATTTTTTTCAAAATGCAAACTATTTTGGGATATGGCAAAAGTTACTTGACATAATAATTAAATTTCTTTTTAAAAAAAAAGACCCAAAAAAACGCATGGATCAAATATTATGATAATTCTCATATTTATTAAAATTCAATTTGTTTATTTTCAGTTTTCGTCTCCCCCCCCTTTTCCATTCAAAGGTATCCCAGTACATTAAACGAAAAAGAAAGATGAAACTTGTGTGTGAGAAGATAACTCTGATGGGAACGATACCCTTTTCATTGTGAACTGGCATTGGAGCACACCTTTCCAAAACTGGCCCTACGTTTTTTTTTTTCCCCCTTCTTTTTTATGATATTTTCATCCTTACAAAAAGTACATTAATTTTCCCATCACGAAAAATACGTCGACTATTTTGTAACCCGGGTCCCTTTCGTTCAGGGCGAAAGGGAAAATTTCCCCCCGGAATGGATCTGAACATTTAGCTTATTTTTTTCAACGCTGATTCAAAATCACTGGGGAAATTTGGGAATTACTGGAAGTTACCCAAAAAAATCGGTTTTTTTAGGAAAGACCACCGAAATATGAAAAAAAACACCAAAAAAAACAAACAAAAAAAAAAACACCTTTTAATGAAAAAAGCTGGAAAAACCGAAAAACCACAGTCGTTTTTAAAATCATTTTTAACTTTATTATAAATTTTTATCATAATGAATTAATTTAATTTTTAAGTTGTTTTACGCCTTTTGCCCAATGTGATGATTTAGCCCTTGTTTAAACCCTAAAAATTTTTAAAATTTTTTTTCCCCCGGAATTTCAACCTATGGTTTTAACTTACTATTCGAAAAACACTTTTCACTTTTTTTTGTTTTTGACCAAGGTTTCACTTTATTTTTTAAATATACCAAAAAACAAATTTTTCACTTTTTATTTTCCCCCCGTGTTTCGAAGGTTTTTTAAAGCTTTTTAAAAAAAATTTTTTCGGGTTAAGTGTTTTTTTTTAAAAAATATTTTTTTATCTGCCTTTGCAAAAAAATTTGGGGGTAAACTGCATTATGTTTAAAATTAAAAAAAAAAAACAACAAAAAAAATTCATCCTTCCCAAAAAGAATTATTAAATGCTATGATTTTTAGACAAAAATTTCGCAGCAGAAACCAATTTTCTGGGCGGTTAAAAAATTAATTAAAATATCAGCATGGAGCACTTTATTCTGTTAAATACAAGAATCTTACCAACTCTTGATTATAGACGTCAGTGTGGAGATATGATACAAGTTTTTGAACTTATCCACACAATAGACGATTTTGACTATGAAAAGTTGTTCATATTATCTGTTACAAATCGTGAAATCCGAGGATATATTTATAAATTAGAAAAGTTAAGACCAGTCACCACTAAAGGCAATAAGACAAAATTTCATCGCTTGTAGAATTGTAAACGCATGGAACCTTCTTCCAAGTTAAATAGTTTTATCCAAGAATGTTAATGAGTTTAAATTAAAATTAGATAAACACTGGCAGTGGAAAAGATTCAAACTCGACAATATTTATTGAATAAACCAATACCGGAGCAGAAAACAAGAAAACAGAACTCGAGGGGAATGAAAGTTCGTTAGGGGACTAATAAAATTTCCCATACATCACAAGGTATATTGCATTGTGTACACTATATTGTTTTTACAGGTTTCCCATTGCGACAACACATTTCGGACTTTTAACCTTCTCGACAGGGACTTTTCTTCAATTCTATTTGAACGAATACGTGAATGACACTCTTGGACTAAACGAACGCATCCGAAATACGACGTAAGTTAATTTTGCTTTAAAACAGCATGTGCTTCCAGATTCATGCTTATTTTCATGAAAATTTTACAATTGTTTTTAAAAGTAAAAAATTGTGTAGTGAACAAAGAAGAAAAATTACACATTGTAAATGGCACTTGCAGTCCTCGTAAATTACCAAAATGAGGCTTAAGTATAAAACCCCCCAGAAAAACCTTTACTGCGTTAGTCACGCAGTAGAATCTTTTATTCCACATAACATGTAAGTTATTACTTGAATCGTGAATAGTTTTACATTTCCTAAAATCTGAGTACATTTTTCAAAAGTTTGATTTTCCTGAAACAGTTTGACTCATTTGCAGGCTATATTTTGATTATTTTGCTTTTTTTTGCAGTAACTACAGTTATAGTTTTAGTACTAAAATAACACTTTGTTTACATTTCCCGACTTTTATGACATTTCTTTTCACAGTCAGCTCTTTTGTTGTCTTACAAACTGTCCTTTGTTATTTGATTGCTTTTAAAACTATTAAGTTTTTTAAATACTATTAATAAGCAGATTGTTTTCCTGCTTTCCTGCTTTAAAAACTGCATTTGAAATACCACTTCCGTTAATTTGTCTCGAAAGTCGAAATACAACGTAGATTTACTAGGGTGCCATCTCGTACCTGAAATAATGTAGAGAGGGGCACCTGAAGTATTCCTCCGCCAGTAAAGCTTAAAAGTCGCCTTTTCAGTGTATGTGCGACTTTCACCTCAACACAACAAACAAACAAACAAACAAGCAAGCAAACAAACAAACAAACAATCAAGCAAATAATCAATATATAGATTTAACTCATTTTGCTTCAAATCTCCAATAGAGTTGCTTACATTTTTTATTGAGTTATAGCCCCTGACCGATTATATAAAATGGACTATCTCAATGTAAAACCTGCTTTTAAAATAGCCCTGTGAAATTATATTTTGTTCAGTGAAATAGTTCCTCTTTTCTTTGGTACATTAAGTTTATTATACCTATAACAACTTTTCCGTTAAATCACCGAGTCCGTGTCATATAGGTTCTAAGCACAGATACGCTACATAATTTGTCAGATATGTTGACTGACTCTTTCAGTTACCCAACTGGAGGGACACATACATATGAAGGTTTGCAGTTCGCACGTACGGATATGTTCACGGAAGCTAACGGGATGAGACCCAATGTATCCCATACTGCCATTGTTGTAACAGACGGTTTGTAAAAAAAAACTATTTATTATATAATCATTAGCATGCATTACATTCGCTATTCGTCTACATTCGGTAATGTTCGTAACTCTCCGTATATTATAACTATTCAAAAATCGCCTTCGTCGAAGTACTTCATTTTAGTTTATTATATAATACATGAAACTACACCGTTCTGGTTTCACTCACTATTCGTCTTTGTCCGGTAAACTTCGTTACTCTCCGTATATTATACCTATTCAAAAATCGCCTTCGTCGAAGTACTTTGTTTTAATAAATTTATTTATTATAATATAAACTCAACCGTTCTTAAGAATGCATTTCATCTATAACGTCCGGCGAACTACTTGTTATTATTCATAGCGTGGGTTTTTATTATTTCGCAGGTCATAGCGACAATTTTAACGAAACCGTCGATCAAGCTCAACTTCTGAAGGATTCCGGAGTAACCATTTATTCCGTTGGTGTCGGGCTTACTGACGAAAAGGAACTACAGCTTATAGCTTCAAACGCCACCTATGTTTTCACGGTAGACAACTACGACAGGATAGATGAGATTACAGGACCTCTGGCCGGAGTTACCTGCGCTTGTATGAATTTTTTTCCATCAAAACTAATTTAAATGCTGGAAGTTATATTTTTTAAGTCTCCTGGTTTTCGTCGAAACTGGCTTTTTCGTGGTGACGTCTGCATTATATCGTGTATATTTGAATAACTTAAAAGCATATCTGATGACTAAGCACTTTTTAATTTGAAAATAATCACCTGTCAATTGATTGTCTTTCGAATCTTACATTTAGAAAATAAGGTTATAATTGAATTCTTATATATTTTTCTTGACGTCTTCATTTTTTTTATCTATTCTAGAATAAGGTTATTAATGTTAATTTATTCTCATAATTTTTCTTGACGTCTTCCTTAATAATTTCCTACTAATGGCTTAATCATCGGAGCAACTGTTACATGTACAGATGCCTGACACTCAATGTAATTAAGTATATATTTAGGTGATAGCACGTGTAGATTTAAGTGATATTCAGTGTAGATTACAGTGATATTACGTGTAGATAAAAGTGATATTACGTGTAAATTAAAATGATATTACGTATAGATTAAATTGATATTACGTGGTTATTCATATGAAATTACGTGTAGATTCAAGAAACATTATGTATAAAGTGATATTACGTGTAGATTCAAAGTAAAATCGCAATATGTACGTTACTCACACAGCATCTTTGATTGTGTTATCAGTTATACAGATTTTTGACTGACATTATGTCCATTTAAGAACGGTTGCTTGCATACTAGGATTATATTGGAAACAACCGTTTATGTTCGGCCATATAACTTGTAAAAAATCTTGATCTTAAATTTATAATACAGAAAACTTCATTTACTTGGGACGAAATGAAATATTATATAAATTGACAGCAGGCAGCTGTACATGTAGTTAATATAAACGTCAGAATTATCCAATGAAAAGCGAGGTTAGAAACGTACAGTCTTGTTAAATTGGTCCTGTATCAATTACATTTGAAAGCTTTTCTTGTGTTTTTTTTCGGATTCTTTGTCGTCATTTAATAAAGTTGCGTCTATTATATTATTGGAGAGGTCATCAGACCTCTCCATAGTGTTCAGACTGATTGCTGGCGGCATCCATTTTTGCGTATCTGATTGTAGTAAATGAATCTCATTTACAGCTTAAAACCATTAGAAGCAGTCTACAAAATTTGTTTTGCGCATGCTCCGTTTCAAAATACGACTAAATTTAAACGAAAAATTAGCATCGAAGTGAACGAATCGGTACAAAGAAAAATCTGAAAATATTATTTACGTTACTTAGCGCTACGTGGATGTTTCATTCCGTTCGAATATTTTAAACTGTATAAATCGATTACAGTATTGTTTTCTGAATAGCGTTTTACCATTTCTTGTTCCGATAAATAGTACTGTCCTAGGATGATAACTTGAGCCTTTGTTTACATATTAACAAAGACCAATAACAATGCGAAAAGTAGGTCAGGCAGATCAATGCCACAACCTATCAAAATGAAAATAAAACTAAATGTTATCATATGTGTCGTTAGCGCAGTAGGTAGAGCAACCGTGTCGGTAATGTGTTTTACCCGTACAGGCAGAAGTTCGAGTACTGCTAAGACACGTTTTTTTTACCCAAGCACAGTCAATTGTTCAGAAAACAAGTTTGACCGGTTTACATATATTATAAGAAGAAAACAAAAAGGAAAAGGAAAAATAAATAAATAATAATGACAAAAAACATAGCAAGAAGAAAAAACTGGGGTTATAAAATGACACTACGTGGGGTTCGAACCTATGAGTACAAAAAATTAAAAGCTACATATACTTCGATCTACCGGCAGAGCCATATCGGTAATACACAAACGAGACTGTAAGAATTGTGCTATATAGTATATGTAAGTGTTTACTTTTCCGATATCGGATAATAATCAAGATACCCCCGTTTTTGAACTTTCCCGTGTACCGTTAAGACCTAATTATCATAAATAGTAACAGTGAACATTATAGCTACAATAACACCATGCACTATTATATATGAAACAAAACATTAACCGAAAATTTGCTTATTGAATTTTACAGAAACTTTTATTTTGATACTACTTTTAATATACATATCATCATTTCTTTTAAATTTAGTTCCCTTTGTATAAAAAGTATCCTTTTTTTTTTTTGGAACCACGTTTAAGGCCGGTTTATCTAAGAAAAAATAATACTATACAAGAATACAAATCATGATAACTTTAGCATTTTCATTGATTATGTAGATAATTAAAAATAAATTTATTTTGTTATGTTTTTAGTCAGAGTATATAAGACATTTAAAAAATTAAGAGGTAAAAGTATCCCTAATGCGCCAAGAAAAAGTCCATTTCTCCAGCATATAATCTTTCAAAACATTAAAAATGAAGAGTAAAACAAACTTTCATTATGATACTGTATATTCAATTTATATAATAAATTATATTTTGTTAAATAATTGTAATTTATAACCATTCATTGGGTCTTATTTCCAAATATTTTCAAATTAAACAAATCTTCTACAGCAGCAAAAGGACCTCTCGCATGCTTCTTTTTTAAAGAAGCAAACTTGTGTTTATACAATGGTGTCATTTAATCTATGATCTTGAGTTTGGGGCAATTAGGCGAAAAGAGTATCAAAAACACGAAACCACTTGGAATACAAAACGCAAAAAAGACACGTTTAAAAATGTCATGCTTATGTCCTGGAGGGGCAATAAAGCGAACATATGTAATATTAATGTGCTGGTCTGAAATGATTATTGTATAACTAGAATTGTGCTACTTTGCCATAAATGTACAGTATATGATTTTATGATTTATGATTTTTTATTATTTTTGTTTCAGCCACTCATGAAACTACAGAACGGGACTCATTATTACAAAATGTTTAATCTGAAAATATAATGTAGTCTCTTATTACAATAAATTTAACAATGGGATTCACTTTGTTATTATTCTCATAATGAGTGTAAATACGCGAGAAGTCCGAGCGGTGCCGCAAGCTCGCGAGTGCTGTAGCGCTTTTGGATCACATGTATGACGTGTATTAGTTAAACTGAAATCACATTAAAATCAATAAGAAATTATCAAAGTCTAACATGTTTGAGAAAAATCCATAGGGGGCAGGGGACATATCCGAATGATGGCCCCCGGTCAAAATTTTTGATAACTCAGACATGGTGTTTTGAAGGTATTGGAAACTTCTGATATTTCTCTGTCATTATAATTCTTTCTTGTTTGTGTGTAGGAAATAAGAAGTTTTTTTTTGGATTTTTACCGAAACTAAGCATTTTGGTAGCTTGTATTTGTATTTGTGACTCTCCAAATGGAGGTGAAAAAGTTAAAAATCAAGCTTTGACAGTTGGCGCCAAACAAGTAAGATATTTCGGATAAATTGTGTGGAAAATCTAAACATATGACAGAGACTTTATTGGTAATTTTTCAAAATGCCATTGCTTGCACTGTATGTGAGAGATATATTTAAAGGAATCGGGCGGATTCTGGAGTATGCTGCACCTTCATGAAGATTGCCCACATTGGTATATATTATGTGTGATTTTGGCTGGGTGGGGGTAAATATAATTTGCTGTCAGTCATTTTTTTAAGGAGCAAAGCATGCAAACTATGTATGTCATATATCATTGAATAATGCTGTGCAGTTGGTTATCTGCCTGTGAAACAGATTTTGAAATATTTGGAATTGTGTTTTTGGCCACACTGAAATACAAAATTGTTCATTTTAGGTTCCCTGCCCCGATATTAAGTTTGGCCCCGCCATTTTGAAATTCTTGGACTGGTTCTATATTTGAGCTTTAATTAAATTTCTGACGGCTTATGAACAAACATTTTTAAAAATCGCCTCTGTTGCTGGAAGACGCGGCAGTCTTGTCATAAATAACACTTCCGGTAAAAGTACGATGAAGAAAATCAGTAATTAAAAAGTAATATGAAATTAGGTGCTACCTTTGGAGCGGAAAGATTTCATGTTTTAATATCAAGCATAAGATGTTTAGTATATAACCAGATTTTTTCTTGCACTTCGTAAATAATAAGTACATGTAAATGCATTTCATTTTATACCGTAAACAGAAAGGAGGGAATTAGTGGTGTTCAACCTATCATCGGAGTGCTCCGAAAATTTCTGAAAATTTTCCTCGCAGTGATTTGATCTGTGTAGCAAAGGGGGCCACTGCGCCAAAGTTTGGAAAATACCGTCCGCCATTTTTTTGTTAATCTCTATTCACAGTTGTTTGAACGTTATTTATATGTGTTGATTTATCAAAATGGATATGTTAAAGTAACTTTTTTATATTAATCATCTCTATTAAAGTTCTTATCAATGATAATTATGTTTATTTTCTGATTTTGTACATCACTCTTCTACCGGAAGAGTTATTTGACATAGAAGAATGGCGCGTTTTCCAGCAATAGTCTGAATTATGTAGACGCTCGTAGGCGCCCTGATATCTATACTTAGCTCAAAATCATCATCATCACCATCATCATCATCATCAACAATCACACCGTCACCACAATTGCCATCTTCAACATCATCATCACAATCTTCATGATCAACACTGTCATCAACATCATCAACAGAAACACCATCACCATTGACACGAACATCATTATCATCATCGTAATCAACAACACCGTGAACACAGTCTTCAATCATCAAAACATCAAAACATGTTATCTAAGAGCGCTATGTACAGCCCTATCGGGGCCTGTGGCCCCTCTCGGACCTTCCACGTATTATCTTTGATGAAAAATAAAGTAACGTTGATAAGCATAAACAAATTCGGATCTAATATCAATAAATCATCACTTTGAAATAATGTAATAACAATCACTCTGACTAGAGATTATATAAAATAGCGGACGAGATATTCTTCATCATTATCATTAACACCATTATCACCACCATCATCAGTATCATAATCACCATCAATAGGACAACCCTTATCATCATCATTATCAAGACTGTCTCCACCATCTTTAACATTATCATCATCAACAACAAACCGTCACCAAAGTTTCCATCTTCAACATCATCAACATCAACGCGACCATCATCGTCAATAATGTCATAATCATCAACACCACCATCATCATCATCATTAACACGACCATCATTATCATCATGGTCATCAACATCATCCAAAGCATCATAATCAATAACACCGTAACCCCAATCTACATCATGATAACCATCATCATCATCATCATCATCTTCAACAGCATCGTCATCATCGGCTCAACTATCATCATCATCTTCAACAGCATCGTCATCATCGTCTCAACTATCATCAATATCATTGTTACAATCATCTACATCACCATCATTATAAGAATTAACACAAATTTACAATATTTAGGTCAAATTTATTTATCGTCCAAAATCACAAAGGCATACGTCACATCCGTGATGGTCTTTTTTGTATTTTGGCGGATTTCCACAATCGAGGAGACATTGCTGTGGTTGACATCCGGTAAACTTTGCAGTAGTTGTCGTAAAATCGGCTAGAAAATGATATTATAATATTATACACATGTTTAATGTAATAAGTTTTTTCTTCTTTTCTTCAACAAAACATTTAGAAAAAATATCAAACAATGCTTCATCTCTCATTAGCATTTTTTTTAAGATTATAACAAGGGCCGTTAGGCGTGGGTTATATTGCAAACAACCGTTTTTTTTCAAGACCATATAAGCTGCTTGAACCCTTTATAACAAACTTACGATGCTTCGCAACTGCTTTCTTTGACTGAAATAAAATGAAATTTAGAAGGTGTTGGTTTTGGTAGTTTTCTGGTAGTAAGCCACATTGAATTTACCAAAGGTCAGTTCAGCCACTGCATAGTTTCGTTGTTTACCTGCACTAGTTGCTTTCACTTTCGCAAATAAATTGATAGCTTCTGTACATGTCAAAGCAGAGGTACAGTGCGAATGACCGTAGAAAGGATTCCATGATCAATCAAAAAGAAAGTGACCTGGACAGTCGGGGAATCGAACCCGGGTCGCCCGATTCACAGTCCAACGCTCTAGCTTACCTCACAGCAATGGAATTTATAATTCGCAGCAGCCTTATATTATATAGATAATATAACCGACACAATTATCGAATGAAAAACGGCATAACAACGATGCTGTAATATAATGTAAATTCAACTAACCCCCACAAACGCATTTCGGACAAAAGTTAGCGTCAAACACAGCACACCCTGCAGCTGATGGGCATGTATCAGGAAACGGCGGGCAGATTCCTAAAAAAAGATTTCACATTACTTATATACATAATGCTTATTTATATCATTTATTTTGATCAGCTGTTATGTATGTCTTTAATTACATTAAGAGTTGATCATGGTATAAAATATATAGTGATGTTCGACCATTATCCATATATTTATGTTCATGATATAAAACATAATAGTTGTATTTGACCTTGACACAAAACAGATTGTAGAATTTGACTATGATACAAAACAAATAGAGATATTTGACAATGAAACAAAACAGAAAGTAGTATTTGTCTATGCTACAGAACATATTGAAATATTTGACCATGATACAAGAGACAGTTGTATAGGGCCATGAGCAAAAAGCAGATATTTGTTCATGATAAATAAAATACAGATATTTGACTATGATACAAACCAGATAGTAATGTTTGACCTTGATACAAAATTTATAGAATTGTGAAAATTAAACTTAACAATGAACAAACGTCAAACAAACCATTGAATGCAGTAGTTGTTGTTTGTAATACAGTCGTAGATATTGGAGATGTAGTGTCTGAGGTAACTGCTGAAGAAGTGGGTGGTGTTAAACTGGTTGCTCTTGTCACCGTTGTGGGCGGAGTCAGGGTTGTCCCTGCTGCTTGAGAAGTTGATGATTTTGCTATCATTGGCGGAGGTGGATTAGGTGTTGTAATTTGTTGAGATGTGGTTATGTCGTTTGATGTTGTGTTTGCTATAACATCCGACCTGATGGGTGGCATTGATGATGCTGTTATTGTCTTATAAGTCGAAGAGGTTATTGTATTTGAGGAGGAAATCTTTAATGTCGTCATCGTTTTAGGTTGTGTTGTTGATTTCACAGTCGTTGTTGTCGGTGCTGTTGGCTGTCTTGTGGATTTTACAGTCGTTGTCGGCGTTGATGGCTGTGTTGTGGGTTTTACAGTCGTTGTCGGCGTTGATGGCTGTGTTGTGGATTTAACAGTCGTTGTCGGTGTTGATGGCTGTGTTGTGGATTTTACAGTCGTTGTTGTCGGCGTAGTGGGCTTTGTTGTGGATTTAACAGTCGTTGTCGGCGTTGATGGCTGTGTTGTTGATTTCATAGTCGTTGTTGTCGGTGCTTTTGGCTGTGTTGTCGATTTCACAGTCGTTTCTGGCGTAGTGGTCCGTGTTGTGGATTTCACAGTCGTGGTTGTCGGTGTAGTTGGTTGTGTTGCGGATTTTACAGTCGTGGTTGTCGGTGTAGTGGGTTGTGTTGTCGATTTCACAGTCGTGGTTGTCGATGTAGTTGGTTGTGTTGTCAATTTCACAGTCGTGGTTGTCGGTGTAGTGGGTTGTGTTGTGGATTTCACAGTCGTGGTTGTCGGTGTAGTGGGTTGTGTTGTCGATTTCACAGTCGTGGTTGTCGGTGTAGTGGGTTGTGTTGTCGATTTCACAGTCGTGGTTGTCGGCGTAGTGGGTTGTGTTGTGGATTTCACAGTCGTGGTTGTCGGCGTAGTTGGCTGTGTTGTGGATTTAACAGTCGTGGTTGTCGGTGTAGTTGGTTGTGTTGTGGATTTAACAGTCGTTGTCGGTGTAGTTGGTTGTGTTGTGGATTTAACAGTCGTTGTCGGCGTAGTGGGTTGGATTGTGGATTTAACAGTCGTTGTTGGCGTTATGGACTTGGTTGTGGATTTCATAGTCGTGGTTGTTGGCGTAGTTGGCTGTGTTGTTGATTTAACGGTCGTGGTTGCCGGTGTAGTGGGTTGTGTTGTGGATTTAATCGTTGTTGTAGGTGTTGTTGATGGTGAAGTCGGTCTTGTTGTTGACTTAACTACAAGTAAATTTCTCATTCTTATTAATATAATAATTGTTCAACAATATAATTGTTTCAATGATTTTAATTTGAATGTATTTTAATGAAAATTGAATGTTGTTGGTTACGGAATAAAATTTTCTCAGGGTGTGATAATGCCGGAAGTTGAAGCCAAACAATGCCGTTTTTACTAGAGCCACAGTAAAATTATGAATTTATGTATTGAATAGGAATGGGGCCATTCACAGTGCAGATGCATACGAGCGTAGCTTGTAAACACATTTGTCTTGCTTTGAACTATTGAATTTTATTGTCTTATCCCCTTACATTTTTCCTTCTAGCACCATGATGTTACACATATTCGTAGGTGGTACATATTTTTGTGATATATAATTGTTTTAATTATTGATTTTTCTAGCGACTATTCATTAGTGTTTTGGTCATATTTTAAGGACATTTTTTGAGAGAATTCTGGTGATATTGTTTAGGAAGTACACGTAGTTCGTAATATTTTGGTTGTATTTCTTGCGATATTTTTTAGTACATATTTTGTCTTTTACTTTTGACATATTGGCATTATTTCTCGGGCATCTTTGATAAGGAAAATTTTCTAATGTTAGTTTATTTCGTAATGTTTTCTTACTTTGTCCGTTACATAAAATACACCCCTGTCTGTCGATGTGACATTCGCTCCAGGGGATGTTTGGATCTTTGGGTGGACAGTTGTTCATATGACTGGCAGCCCCTGCTAGATTGTTGCTGTTTGGTCCTCCTGTATAAAATAGAAAACATGTTAAACAACTGTACAAGGTTTTCTTATTTTGGTAAGTATTTAGGTTTTCTCGGGCCTGCAATCGAATTTTGAAAGGTTTTCACATTTTGGTATCAATGTAGTTTTTCTAAGGCCTTTTCCTCGAACCGAATTTCGAGATTTTTATATACACCATTTATAACAATAACAAAATACAAATCTAAATTAAAGATGGTTGTCAGACATATTTTTAATCATAACTGTACCGAAAGATGTCAAATATATACATTCATTTTACATTATCGGACATTACGCTCTCTGGTTTTGTTTACATTTGAAACCACGTGGTAGAACTAATTTCTATCCGTATTAACTCCGAGGTTATTATAGATAATAGCCAAGGACGTTCCGATTGGCGAAAAGGCAAATTTACTGGCTCAATCCCTCGCCATCCCAAAAACCGACGTGACAACTGGCAGAACTAAAGAGCAAAGAAAATACAAATCTACCTGAATTTGAACAGTACGGACAATCATTGGCGTCCAGTTTGACCATGAATTGCGGACAGTTGTTTGCCAAAGACGGACACACTGAAATAAAACATCATCAATTAGTCATGACAAAAAGTTTTGTCACATAGCAAGTATTACCACCCCTAGTGGTCATTTTCAGTGTCATTCCCAAAATACCTTATGATTTAAAGATAAGTTCATATAAATCTATTTTAATTCTTTCGTTTTATTAAAACGGTTAAAACTCTTTAAGATATTGGTGTTATAAAATAAAATTTTCTTTACATTTGAAAAAAAAAGGCAATTCACTTTAATCAGTTTTAAACATATTTTAACGGAAAATGTATTTTTTGACCCCCAAAAAATGTTCAAATAACTGAAATAATTTAAAGGAATTTAAATGTTTTAACGAGCAAAAAAAGTGTTATTCTATTCTTATTTTTTTTTTTTATAAAAATCTCAAATAAAGTAAGATGAATATCTTTTTTTAGTTATAGCTCAGATAATTTTATCTATTATTGTTTTGCATTTTATTGTTTGCACCTGTCCTAAATAAGCATTATGAGAATTTTCTTATTAACACACATGACGTTATACGTTATAATATGTTACCTGGTGCAACAATCTGCATGTATAAACACAATAATAAAATCTGATGTACTTTTCTTAACAAAAAGCTAAACAATCAAATATTTAGTTTTAATTAAACAGACTTAAAACGAAACTGACCTAAGCCCGGTTTTGTGTTTGAAGCCGATGAACCGGAACCGGAACTAGATTGAGCGTTTGCGTGCGCACTAGACGGTGCAACTGTAGCAGACGATCCACTTGTAGAAAATCCTGGTCCAATGGGCATCCCACCACCAAGTTCACCAGGCACAAAGCTGCTAAAACTGCTTGTACCGGAAGTTCCTGAGAAATGTTGCTATTATATTGTTTTAAAACGTTTTTAAGTCAACAAAATATAATGACTGTATAACTAAAAAGCGAAAATTTCATATATATGTAATGTTCCTGCAAAACGGTATAACATCTAAACAAAAGACATATTTTTGTTCAACATGCTATATGAAAGATATTCTTTTAACTGAGAGCAATTTAGAATTGTATTTTTAAATTTGGTAATATGGGAACTAATTTTAATTAAATACTCAACACTTTTTTTTATTTGATGTCCTTTTTATCTTTTTTTCTATATTCCCTGATCTATCTTTTGCTTCTGTTACTTTTTATTTGTTTGGGTCGTCAAACCAAACAAATAATGGTAGCAAAATTTCAGAGTCTTATGCTGTTAATTGCAAATGCCTAAAGTAGTCCACTTTTTTGAAGCGGTTACTTCCCTTTATATGTACACTAACGCCGAAAAATTCAGGGGAGATCAATGCGTAAAGATTGTCAAATGACAGGCTCATTAATTTTCAAGCAAAGTAGTTCCCGAATGGTCGAAGATTTCTAATATTGTTTCATTCTTTATAGATATACATGCTTACAGTAAGCTCCATGATTATTTACATCTGTGTTAAACAACAGGTTTAGCGTCAAAATAATAAGAGATACAAACCCTAATTTAGAACATTATGGATTTCTGCAGGCTATTAACATATAACTTCACCGTAAGCGATGGGTTTGCACGCTCGCTTATGAATCGAGAGGTCTCGAGTTGAAATCCCAGTTGAGGCAACTCATTTTTTTCTCCATTTCTTTAAGTCAAATAAACATTGAATGGACTATCAGTGTTGCAATTAGTCTTATAGCCAATTTACTACAGTTAAAACACTGGAAAGCATTGATGGCACTTTACAAAAACAAATTGATTTATACTCTCACAACCTTCACCTTTGTGACATTCAGAGACCCAAACAAATTCAGCGCCTTCTGTGCTTTGATTAATATTTTGTAAGGAAATCGAAATACATATACTATTTTATTTTCATTTCGCTACCTTTATGTAATATTTTCACATTTGGGAGCAATTCCTGGAGGTAATACAGTAAGCAACGTGCTAGGTTAACACGTGATTTACGACCTTATTGCATGATAACGCAGGGACTGAAAGATTGCACCGTGAAATGACCTGGCGGTTTAACGCCTGAGATAATTAAAAGAGTAAATTGACTTGCACGCGTTACACGTGATTAACCATGGTAACACGTGACTTACCAGTATTGCAAGATGATGGACATATGAAACATCCGTTGACATATTTAGTACATGGACACATCATATTATACTGCGGACAGTTACTACCAAACTGTCTTTTGTACTTAGCAGCATGCGCGTCTATAATGAAAAATAAATATGTCAGTAAACGAATCAATACGTGACTACACCAATAAAAAAGAAAAAATATGAATACACCAATATAACAATCAATACATTAATACAACAATATAACAACAAATAAATACATTGTATTTAGAAATTATCAGAAAATGTTCTTTTCATAGAAAAAGTAAAACTTGCAACAATATTTTGTAAATTGTGCTCACTTTGTCCGTTACATAAAATACACCCCTGTCTGTCAATGTGACACTCGCTCCAGGGGATGTTTGGATCTTTGGGTGGACAGTTGTTCACATGACTGGCAGCCCCTGCTAGATTGTTGCTGTTTGGTCCTCCTGTATAAAATAGATAACATTCAATTTATTTCACATGGTTTCAAATTTTATAGTACATGATTTATATTCTTTTTCACCACATTGTCCTATCCAAATTGATTTAAATGTAAATAGTTATGAACAATGTAATGTTACAAATAATACTACATTATGTAAAAAAATTGTATGGGATAATGAAAAAGTTGATTATTACAGAGACGTTATATCTGCTGAACTATCTAATATATACATGTAAGACATTGTTAGTTGTATTGTTTCAAAAGAAACTAATGTTAGCGCTGGAATAAGTGAAATATCTAATATTTTGTATGAAAAAACTAAAAGTGTTTTTGGTAAAACTACGTGTAATAAAAGCAATATAAGTAATAGAACGTATAAGAGCCCATGGTTTAATAAAGAATGTGAGGCCGCTAGGCGAGAATTTAGGACTGTTAATAAGTCTCTTAAACAAAATAAATCTGTAGAAAATTTTGAATTGTTAAAAACTAAACGACGAGTATATAAATGCTGGTTAGTGAAATATTAATAGAATGTAGTGATCTTTTACTTCCTTGTCTTTAAAAATTGTTTAATTTTATGTTTCTTAATAGTGTATATCCTGAGATATGGACAAAAGGTATGATAGTTCCAATCCCAAAAAGGTAATGTTGATGATGTAAATAACTATAGAGGTTACACCCTCACCAGTGTTTTTTCTAAAATATTTCTTCAATGTTAGATACACGTAAACTTGCGCAAGTGGGCCGAAACTAACAATTTGTTATCGGAGTACCAGTATGGATTTCGTAACGGCAAAAGCACCATAGATTGTATTTTTGTTTTAAATTCTATAATAAATAAAGTTATTAATAGTGAGAAAAAGAAATTATTAATTGATTTTCGTAAAGCATTTGATGTTGTATATAGAAATGGTATATGGTTAAAATCATTGAATTATGGAGCTTCCTCTAAAATTGTCAAAATGTTGAAAGTTATGTATGAAAATGTTAAAGCATGTGTTAGAGTTAATGGGTCTGTAAATGATTATTTTGACTGTAATAATGGTGTTAAACAAGGCGAACCATTATCTCCTTTGTTGTTTATCTTTTTTATCAATAATATGTATGAATATTTGTATGACGATAATGTTGAAATGTTTACGTTAGAAGAGATGAAATTATTTCTGTTATTGTTCGCCGATGATACAGTTTTGTTTTCATATACGAAAAGTGGTTTACAATTGTTACTAGATAAACTATATATGTATTGTCATGAATGGGGAATCACTGTTAATCCAGAAAAATCAGTTGTTATGATATGCAAAAAAGGTACCAGACAAGGAAATGATGTATTTCTGTATAATGATCAAATCTTGAAATTTGTTAATAAATTTACTTATCTAGGTGTATCTATTTCGTCAAACGGTAGCTTGTTTCAAGCACAAAAATCTTTGTCAGAACAATCTTTAAAGGCCCTTTACTCACTTAATTCAATTTTTGATAACGTGTCTCTAGAAATATCGGAAAAGTTAAAATTATTTGACTACATGATTATGCCTATTCTCAATTAGGGTTCTGAAGTATGGGGTTTGCATAATGCACCAGACATAGAGCATGTTCATAAAAAGTTTTTGAAGCAACTTCTGGGTGTTAGACAGCAAACATCAAATGCGGCTGTATATGGTGAGTTTGGAAGGGTACCTTTGTAAATATTACGCAAAATACGTGTTGTAAAATACTGGTATAGAATAGTTAAACAGCCTGTTTCTCTTATGCATAAATTGTTTATGATGAAAGATAAAAATAATCAATATGTTAATAAATGGTCGATTCGGGTTAGAAAATTGTTTCAGAATTTATGATTTGCTAATATTTTTGATAATCCCAATGTTATTAATTTAAAAACCATCATTCAACGTATATATGATCAATATAATCAACAATGGTTATCGGAAATTAGTAATTCATCAAAATTAGAGATGTATAAGATTATTAAAGATAGTTTTGATTTTGAAAAATACCTTTCTTTAGTAAAAAATCCAAAGTTTAGAATAGCTTTGTCACGATTTAGATGCTCAGCACATAGACTTATGATAGAAGAAGGTAGATTTAGGAATATTGACAGAGATCAGAGAATTTCTTTAAAATGTAATATGAATGAAATTGAAACAGAATATCACTTTTTACTAGTTTGTCCTTTTTATAGGGAATTAAGGAAAGAACATTTACCAAAATATTATTGCTCTTGGCCTACCTTAAATAAATTTATATCTTTAATGAAAAATTCTAAGCATGGAACTGTTAATAGATTATCAAAATATATCTACTTTGCAAATGCATTACGTGATAGAACGAATGATTGATTGTTTTCAAATAATGATATTGGTATATATTGCATACTTTTATTTACAAACATATATTGAAATACAATGTATATTAATGTGCTCTTTAAATATAAAAATGTTAATGAAAAAAATATTTGTATACAGTTACATACTTTTCTCATATACTATTTGTAACTCTTGAAAATCTTGAAAAATTGCAAATTTAGTATCAAACCAAAACAAGGCATTGACCCGGTAGTTCTTGCAGGTTAAAGCGAAAATGCAATCCCTCTCCATTCCGGGAACCGAAGTGACAACTGACAGAACTAAAGAGCAAACAAGTACAAATCTACCTGAATTTGAACAGTACGGACAATCATTTGCGTCCAGTTTGACCATGAATTGTGGACAGTTGTTTGCCAAAGACGGACACACTGAAATAAAACATCTTCTATTAGTCATGACAAAAAGTTTTGTCACAAAGCTTGTATTACCGCCCCTTCCCGCCATTTTCAGTGTCATTCCCAAAATACCTTATGATTAACATAAGTTCATATAAATTTATGAAAAATATTAATTCTTTCGTTTTAAAACTGTTTAAACTCTTCTAGATATTGGTGTTATAAAATAGAATTTTCTTAACGTGTATAAAATAATTTGGCAATTCACCTTAATCAGTTTTAAACATATTTAAACGAAATATGTATATTTTGACAAAAAATATGTTCAAATAACTGAAATAATTTTAAGGAATTTAAAGGTTCAACGAGGAAAAAAGTGTTATTTTATTCTTAATTAAATTTTATATAAAAAATGTCAAATAAAGGAAAATGAATATCTTTTTTAGTATTGGCTCAGATAAATTTATCTATGCTATTGTTTTGCATTTTATTGTTTGTATCTGTCCTAAATAAGCATTATGAGAATTTTCTTATTAACAAACATGGCGTAATAATTTTTTATCTTATCCAAAAAATCTACATATTTCAGACACACAAACATAAAGTCTGATGTACTTTTCTTAACAAAGCAAAGCAATCAAATATTCAATTTTAATTAAAAGACTTAAAACGAAACTAACCTAAGCCCGATGTTGTGTTTGAAGCCGATGGACCGGAACTAGATTGAGCGTTTGCGGGCGTACTAGACGGTGCAACTGTCCAAGACGATCCACTTGCAGAAGATCCTGAAAATATATTATGACTGTATGACTAAAAAGCGAAAATTGCATGAAAAAATTATTTGTATACAGTTACATACTTTTCTCATATACTATTTGTAACTCTTGAAAATCTTGAAAAATTGCAAATTTAGTATCATGTAATGTTATATGTATGTATGTATGTAATGTATGTAATATGTAATGTTCCTGCAAAACGGTAAAAAGTCTAAAAAAAGACATATTTTTGTTCAACATGCTATTTGAAAGATATTCTTTTAAATGAGAACAATTTAGAGTTGTTTTTTTTTAATTTGTAATATGGGAACTTCCTTTGATTAAAGACCCATTAGGCCCTAGAAATGCTCAAATTCTTTTTATTTTTGTCCTTTTATTTTTTCTATATTCCCTGTTACTTCTTTTGATTCTGTTTCTTTTTATTATTTAGTAAGGAAATCAAAATACATGCGCTTCTTTAGTTACATTTTTTGCTACTTTTACATATAATTTTCACATTTGTGAGTAATTCCTGCAGGTGAAACAGTAAGCAACGTGCTTGGTTTAGACGTGCTTTACGACCTTTTTTCAGGATACACATGGTCTAAAAGATTGCACCGAGAGGTTCCACAAAAGCACGTGCGTTACCCGAGTAAAAAATACTTACAAGTGATACATGTCACTCAATACACGCGTCAAAACAACAATCAATACATTGATAAATAAATACCACATTGAATATATATAAATCAATTAAGAATACATCAATGAAATACTACATCTTTTCATTGATATAAATTAATCTAACAATCAATACACCAATCTAATATCGAATTTGTCATTCAATACTACAAAAGGTCAATTTAGCATCTAATATAGAATAGTAGGTCTATATAAAGATTTATCATTTAAGGTAACATTTGAGCAATACATCACTCAATCTATTAACCAATGCAGTGATCTTGTAAATCAATCAATTAATCAATTGATGGAATTAATTATTTAATTAACAAATTTTAAAACCAAAATCTTCCTTACAACGTTGTATACTTCACGTTACGTATCTTACCCATGCCACGCATGCGCCGTCCATAAATACGCCAGAAGTTCTTCCCGGATATGACGTCACCATATGAATATTGAACTGAGACAAGGTAAAAAGAAAGGAAATATGTTAAAGAAATATCTACCTCTGGTTATTAACGAAATTGATCAAATTCATTCGAGCTGTTGACCTGTGTTTTAGGATGAAACGGTGAAAGGTCGAAATACAAATAAAAACACGCTTTTTGCCACAAGAGAACAAGCAAAGATGTAGTTTTTTGGTTGAATTTGAAATATTATCCTGTGTCGTGCTTTTGCCATATAAGTTGTTCGTATGTTCATGTTTTGTGTTGCCCGAAGGAAATATCGAAAACTCATATAAACACGATATAGATCTAGTCATAGTTGTTTAACTGTGTGTGTTTGTTTGTTTTGTTGTTATTGTTATTTTTTCGCGCTTTTTGACATAACGCACTTGCGTCCTGTAAACTCATCCAAATAAAATGGCATGAATTATTCCCTATATAGACGATAAATCTACTTACGTAAACTTGCCAGATAGAAAAGGAGAGATAAACACGTTTGTATATCCATTTCCGGTTTGTAGCGTCTCTTGAAAAACAAAAATGATATAGTCACGTGACAGTAAGCTTTCCTTTAACTTCATAAAAGAAATTGAAACCCCATTAGAAATGATTAAACGTTCACTTCTGATTTGAAATTGTTTTTGAAAGTGTTACATTTATATGTCAAATGTGTGACGTAATAAAGATAACATTATTTCCAGATATATATATATCTTTGAGAAAAAAAAAACAACAACACCTGATTTATATTATATTGTAAAAAATAACATTACCTCTAGGTGAATGATCAAATATCACCGATAACTTACCTATTATCATGAAATAATCACTGATGACGACATCATGGTCATTTATTAAGACAGCTGAACTTTCCTTATCAACTTTTAGATACATGTCTACAGCCAGGTGGTATAGAAGCGTTCTGTGACCTCACGTCACCTTAATTTTCTCCACTAATTATATTCAAAACAATGATAACTTTCATTCCATTTTAATAGAAAGGGTCAAGCCGACAAAAACACGGCCTTTTGGTGAATAAAAGTACATCAATCCATTCGTCTGGCTCGTCTGTCCGTTCGTCCATCAGTCTGTCTGCAGACTCCCCGGTGACATTATGTTATAGATGTCCGTGTTCATTTCGAGCAGGAGGAACTTGTGGGGAAAAAACGGCTTCTGTTTATATGGTGAAAATAAGTTGTTTATTTGGTTGTAGAGATCAAAGACAATCAAGGAAATTACCAAAAATGGTCAACACATGAGGAATTTTCGTCCGTCCGTCCGTCCATCTGTCAGTCAGTAAAGCAGCCAACCAGTCAACAAATCTACAAATCTTTGAAAAATTGTGCATCCTTTAATGAGCTCCAGTCTTTTCTTAAGAAATACATTGAGCAATAGCACTAGGCAAAGCTGACACTGACATATCAAAGGGAAGCTTTTCATTTCTTTTTCTTGTTTATGCTTGCATTATTTACATTATTTGAAATAAGAAACAATGGTCTTGTGACATATGCAGTGGATCTTTATTCACACTAAGTACCCGGTTCGAATCATCAGTTTTGTTTCGTTCAGTTAAAGTACCGACCTTTTCCATCGATCTTTTTCATTTATTTACTATGAGTTTGTGCGTAAAAGCATAAAAAAGCAACAACAACAACAACAAAAAATAAAACAAAAAAACAAACAAACAATCAAACAAAAACAACAGCATACGACATCGTATATATAGAAAGAAAATAAAGAAAGGGTTAAAAAATCGACTAAATAACACATAAAGTATCTATATTGTAATTAAGACTGGATTCTTTAACTGACTAGTTTATTAACATGAGTTATATTAATCAAGTTTCAACAATTTACTTATCAAATTTACTAGACTGTATTCTTAAAGATATTAATTAAGGTCCCATTCATTTTTCATGAATCAGGAATTATATGTAATAGTTAACTGACTAGTACTGGTTCTATGTGAGGATTTAAGGCTGTGTCCCAAGTAGGGTTCAAATCCACGACCCCTGGGTAAAAACAAAGGTTCTCTGAGGTCACGCTCCTTCGTTAATTATATCATTCTCTTCAAATTTGCAAGCGTGGGCGGAAGTGTGATAGCACAGTATCACGTTCCCGTTTGAACTATAAAATAACGCCGCCAGTGATAGAGCTGCTATAATTCATAACTAGGTGTGCAGTGCTGTTTTTATTTATAAATGTAACACATTCACAATTAACTTAGATGTGGTTATTTTATTAATGCAAATTGTAATATTCATAAAGTTCGGAGCGCTCCCTGCATAGAAGGCAGAATATCAAAAGATTTTTCAATTATCATATAAATTGAACATACATCTGGCTGGATGCCTTACATCACTCCAGTTAATGCTCGTTTAAGTGTCTGTAAATCCCTCACATACACCAATTATAAACAACTAGCCAGACGGGCGAGCTACTTGAACTTCTATATTGATTCCGCGCGTTGCCAATTAGTGGTCGGGATCTTCCGGTAATTTCCGTTACTTTCCGTATATTTAGAAATTATCAGAAAATGTTCTTTTCATAGAAAAAGTAAAACTTGCAACAGGTGATCGGTAATTTACGGAAAATACCGTGAACTGTTCGTGAAATAGTGAATAAGATGGAATATAAATGTGAATATCTGAGAGAAGAAAAAAATCGGTCGTTAATTTCCGTGACTTGATACGATGAATAGTTCAATATATACAGGACAAGGAATCCGAAAATTTGGAACTAATTTAGAATATAATGTTATAACTCTTTGAGAAAAAAGATGAATTATTCAAGATACGTTTATTTTGTTTATTTATGTCTAACATGGATAATAGAAGGTAAGCGGTTTACTTTGAAATTCCTGTTTATGTTTGATAGAAAATAAATATCTGTATTGCGTCATGAAAGTTCTACAGTTAAGAAATACCATGTTTTCATACTTCCGGTTTCATGTGTCTGCATGTATTATTTCGGGCGGAGTGATACTGTCCTTAATTCGCTTGTTTATGTATAAATTTTTGGTATATCTTGTATAAACATTACTTATAAATTTAAGATTTCTGTTCAGAGTACCTCTAGATATTAGATGCGAATGTGTAATTTGTATTGAATGTATGAACGAACGAAAGTATGTCAGTTCTTTTTTCAGTTGAGACTATGGGGTCATTTCTTTGATTTTCTTTGATCGCTACAGCCCCTTAAGAAACCTTTGTTCACAGAATAAGCATCTATCCCCCCCAACAAGTACAGTCTGTATAAAATGTGTACCGTCGTTTATCACATGATAACACTCGAGTGCGTGCGTCCGTTCGGACAGAGAGATGGACGGAAAGAAGGATGAATTGAAATGTAATGTACATAATTAGGCTTGATAATTTGAGCTTTTAATTAAAATCTTTCCTATGTTTACAGTAGCGTCTGGTAGACTGCCGGACATTACAATAACAGAGGTATCCTCCCTATCACCGAAGAAGATTTCACTGCAATGGACGCCAACATTTGTACCCAAGAAAGGTCAATCAGAATACGTCATAAGGTAAACTGGTTTCTTTTAGGTAATACGAGATAAGTCTAAAAACAGAAAATAATGTGTTTCAACTGTGAAAAAAATAATATATCAAAATTATATATATGGCTTATGGTATATATTTCAATGTTTCGCTTCATTTCGTTTATTTTTTGTGTGTAATGTTTCGTTTATTAATTAGCTAAGTTTGCATTTACATAATTCATTCAGAGAACCGATCAAAATAACATATGCAGAACGAAACCAGACGACGAGCTTTTTGTTCTTTTCTTCTTTTTAAGAAAAAAAAGAAGGAGAAGCAGACTACTTTTTAAATATTTTTTTCCTGAATCAAAAACAAAACTCAGAGAGGGGGACAGATGTCAGCTGTCTGAACACGTGATTGCAACAAGTTCTACTGGGGTCCCTTCTTATGCTTATTTATACTTTTATATTATCAATATACTGGTTAGTTAAAGAAACAGGCTAAAATTTTACATCAATGAAGAATATCGCATGAAATAATTTGTATGTAAATGGATCGATCTATATTTTTGTAGGAACATTTTCTCTGTGGATATATTGTGGATACACTGCAATACGTAAAATGGGCTCATTTGATTAAATGTTCCTTAATTAATTCCGTAATTAAAGGATCGATATTTTAAGAAAGTATCCCACGATTCTGTTTATACTTACAATTATTTGGTATGAGAAGAGTCATTAAAAAATAAACGTTTTTGTACTTATTGTGATACGCATGATGTAGAAGAAAAATATCATTTTATAAATAAACATGTCCTTGTTATAATGATATTAGACTGGCATAGGTATCAAAACTGTACATAAATAGCACTACATGTATTATAAGCTTTGTGACAAAATCTGTGAAATAATTATGTGTTTATTGTGCAAATCGTGAAAAAATTATTCTATCTTATCAATATACAAATCATTTTATTATGGTGTTAATATTACATAGTTACGACATAGACTATAATAATGATAATGATATAACGATAATGATAATGCATGATGATAATAATAATACATAATGATAATAATAATAATAATAATGATGATAATGATGATGATGATGATGATGATGATGATGATGATAATGATGATGATGATGATGATGATGATGATGATGATAATGATGATGACGATGATTGTTGCGATGATGAACAACAATAATGACGACGATGATGATAACTTATTTTTCTTTTGTATTTTCGAGTTGAAGAGAAGTGTTAGTTACACACAGAAGTGCGATAACTTTATAAGTACGATAAATGACGAACATTCACGAACGATGTCGTACTTGTGCAAATATCTTACCGAATGCACATTTCGGTAAATTACGTAGACATTTAATCACGTGACTGTTGTAAGTGTATTATAATTTTAGGTACAAAGTGAAAGGAGGGACGTATATGAGAGCATATTCCAAGAAGACCGAGGTGATTATAAAAGATTTACTTCCGGACACGACGTACGTGATGGCCGTCAGGATGGTCAATTCAAAGACACGTGGTGACTGGTCAGACACAGTAGAAATCAAAACTAAATCAAGGTCAACTCATTCCAATGGTCAGTGAATAAAATTCTTTATACCAAATATTAAAGTGTCGGGTATTTTATTCAAATAAATTGAAGAAAAACAACAAAACAAGAAAAACCCACAAAAAACCCAAATGATATCGGTCGGTGTGCGGTTAAGCTGTATTATAAATGAATTAATGATTGATCAATCTGACATATATAAATAATTGAAAGGTGTAGCATAATGCGATGATAAATAATTTTGATAAAAAAAAGATTAGTGTTCGTTCGTACCTTTTAACGATATTTCATGCGTTCATTTATTCTTCCTTCCTTCCTTCCTTCCTTCCTTCCTTCCTTCCTTCCTTCCTTCCTTCCTTCCTTCCTTCCTTCCTTTCTTCCTTTCTTCCTTCCTTCCTTCCTTCCTTCCTTCCTTCCTTCACAGATTCATTCATGCATTCATTCATTCCTTCCTTCCTTCATTCATTCTCGCCTGTAAACTTTTTTTAAAAGATTATACTTAATGTAAATCAAAATTTTTCTGTGCAATCTGTGCACTAAATATGTACAAGAATACGATATTGTATGCGTGTTAATCCTCTTCTAACGAACATTATTACGCAAAAGGTTCATTAGAATATCATATGTAGTACTTGCTATATTCAGTATTATTTTATTGTAATTTAGATGACGTTTTTAGTAACATAACAGTGGAAGAAATAACAGAAACAGCTGTCATCTTGAACTGGACCATTAGCAAGAATATTCACCAAATAAAAGATTTTGCAGGTATGAATTTCTATGTATGTAAAAGATTCATGATCTAACCCTTAAAAAACAACAGCATTAATACCAGTTACAAAATCTGGTAATGCACAAAAGAATAAAATTTGTGAAAGAATTTGATGTTGTGAGAAAAATGACATTTCAAAGCAAAAAAGGTTTACGTCGAGTTCACCCGAGGTAATGTTTTAACTTATTGTTCCATCATAACATAATCGATTTTTGCAAACTGCAGAAAATGCATATTGGGCTTGATTTAGTGGTAAGTCACATCGATCGCAAATGTCAACAAATACGCAACAATTTATCGCCATTTCAACAAAAAGTATTCAATTTTCAGAAAAGTAAAACCAGACATATTCAGCTTCACAAAATTGTTTAGTATGGAAAAATAGATCAAGTTATAATGGCGAAATAAGTTGAAACATTACCTCTGGTGAACTCGACTTTCACCTTTTTACTTTCGTGTTCCGATGTTTTGAGGGGCTATTTCCGGTGAACGCTGTACAACAGTGATTCTATATGATGTAACTGACAAAATATGGGGAAAAACAGTTCCTTTTTACATATGAAGCAAAATAGTATTAAAGCACCAATGATTAACTGATTTTTTATCAGTTCTCATGCAAATGATATAAATTTGAGAGATTTTTTCTTGTCTTAAGCATTTGAGAATGGACACTTAAATTACGACTAAGAGAAGTAATTATGCTATTTGAAAAGGAATACGTTCAGATTAGTTTTTTTAACATCCAGTTAGGACTAACTATATGTTTTAAACTTTTCCAGATTTTCAGATAATTTTAAAAAGCAGGGACCTTCAACAGAAGCAGAAGACAAAATTATTTGGAATAGTTATACAAGATTTGATCCCAGACACGAGCTACGCCGCAAATTTATACATCATACTAGGCAATGGTAAATCATTTCTTTGCAGTAATAAATTTTATTTACAAGTATATACCGTGTCATCCGTAACATTTCATAATTCTCTCTTTTTACATTGTTTTATTTTTGTTCTAGACTTAATATAAATTCAGGTTTAAAGGTATTTAAAGACTGCACTGTTTAATTGGTTGAAGAAAATCATCATTACACTGTAAATCACTCACAGTATATCACTCATAGTATAGAACCCATAGTATATCACTCACAGTATATCACTCACAGTATATCACTCACAGTATATCACTCATAGTATATCACTCATAGTATATCACTACTCACAGTATATCACTCACAGTATATCACTCATAGTATATCACTCATAGGATATCACTCATAGTATAGAACTCACAGTATATCACTCATAGTATATCACTCATAGTATAGAACTCACAGTATATCACTCATAGTATATCACTCATAGTATAGAACTCACAGTATATCACTCATATTATAGAACTCACAGAATATCACTCACAGTATTTCACTCATAGTATAGAACTCGCAGAATATCACTCACAGTATATCACTCATAGTATATCACTCACAGTATATCACTCATAGTATAGAACTCACAGAATATCACTCACAGTATATCACTCATAGTATAGAACTCACAGTATATCACTCACAGTATATCACTCATAGTAAAGAACTCACAGAATATCACTCACAGTATATCACTCATAGTATAGAACTCACAGAATATCACTCACAGTATATCACTCATAGTATAAAACTCACAGAATATCACTCACAGTATATCACTCATAGTATATCACTCACAGTATATCACTCATAGTATAGAACTCACAGAATATCACTCACAGTATATCACTCACAGTATATCAATCATAGTATAGAACTCACAGTATATCATACACAGTATATTACTAACAGAATATAACTCACTGTATATCACTCACAGTATATTACCTACAGAATATCACTCACTGTATATCACTCACAGTATATCACTCACAGTATATCACTCACAGTATATCATTCAATATATATCACTTACAGTATATCATACACTGTATATCACCCACAGTATATCACTCACAGTATTTATCACTCACAGTATATCACTCACAGTATATCACTCACTGTATATAACTCACAGTATATCACTCACAATATATCACTCACAGTATATCATACACTGTAAATAACTCACAGTTTATCACTCACAGTATATCACTCACTGTATATCACTCACTGTATATAACTCACAGTATATAACTCACAGTATATCACTCACAGTATATCACTTACAGTATATCACTCATTGTATATCATAGAGTGTATATAACTCACAATATATCACTCACAGTATATCACACACAGTATATCACTCACAGTATATCACTCACAGTATATTACTCACAGTATATCACTCACAGAATATCACTCACAGTATATCACTCACAGTATTTAACTCACAGTATATCACTCACAGTATATCACTAACAGTATATCCCTCACAGTATATCACTTACAGTATATCATACACTGTTTATAACTCACTGTATATAACACGTGAAAATACAGATTTGGGTTTTACGCGTGCTAAAAATAGCTCGCAGTCGAATAATCCAGGTCAAGATCATCAGGCGGAACGAAAGCAGGCGACGGGTAGCAGTGTAAATACTGGACAATTATAGTTTACTGATCAGAAGGTCACGCTGCGATGCGCGCTATTGAACATTCAAGGTTTAGTGACCAAACGAACCAATAAATTACAGTCTGAAGAAGTTTTAAATATTTTTGAAAATAATGATATTGTATGTCTTACTGAGACTTGGGGAAATGAATATTGCAATTTTAATGTTAATAATTTTGAGCATTTCTTTTTAAATAGAACTGTCAATAAAGCGTCTGCAAAAAGAGCCTCGGGTGGTATTTGCATTTATGTTAGAAATGATTTTGTGACGCAAGACACGCTGGTGTTCACTAGCGAAGATGATATTACTTGTATAAAAATAAGCGGGTCTAAAATTGGCTTGACAAATGATTTATTTATTGGATTATGTTATATTGTACCCGAAAATAGTAGCAGAGAGGCTATGATTGATAACAGTACATATGATAGATTGCTTGAATACATTGTTAGTTTAGATAATAAATGTGAGAACGGCTTCAATTTTATGTTATGTGGCGATTTCAACTCTAGAACAAGTAATTTACCAGACTGGGTTGTAAGTGATAACATCGGGCATGCTGATATTTTGCCAGAAGATTATCAAATTGATGAAAATCTGTTACGCGTGTCGCAGGACAGCGGTCACGTGAACAATAATGGTCAGTTACTGTTAGATTTATGTAAGCAGACTGGTATTAGAATAATAAATGGCCGTTTAAAAGATACATTAGGCAAATATACTTTTGTTTCAAACAGAGGCTGCAGTGTTGTTGATTATTTTTTATGTACTCAAAATTTATTTGAACATGTAGATTATTTTAATGTGAATGATCCAAATGTTATTACTGATCACTGTTTAGTAGAATGTCACTTGGTATTTTGTGTAAAACAGGCTGATATTATAGATAATAAGCGGTCTTATGAAACGTCGCAATATAAATATGTGTGGTATAAAGATAATGCTAATGATTATATAAGTAAATTGAATGAAAATGATATTGTACATAAATTGAATATGTTTGATGTAAATGTTGAACAATCGCACACAGTAATGATGATATTAACTCGTGTGTAAGTGAATTTGCTAGTATTATGGATGATGTGTGCTCACCTTTATTTAAACGTAATGTTGGAAACCAAAGATCAAATACTAATTATGTAGATACGAATCAAAAGTGGTACACACAAGAATGTGATGATATTAAGCGGGCATTTTACGCTGCGCTGAATTTGTATAGAAATGATAAATCTGAGGCTAACCGTGTAAACATGGTAACGGTAAGGTCTAGATATAAGTCATGTTTACGTAATGCTAGATTTGTTTTTTGATAAAAAAGAAACTAATAAACTTGTGAATGCTAAATTTAAAAATGCAAGGTTGTATTGGAAAATGTTAAAAAACTGTGCTGGTGTTAAAGATGCTAATATACCTATGGAAACTTTTGAGCGTTATTTCAAATCTGTAAATAATCCTGAAGATCCCTTTTTTTCACCGGATGAAGATGTGTTGCATTTTATAGAAAGATATGAAAGTGAGGAGTTTAATGTTATGTTTTCTTGCTTGAACTTGCCATTTACTTATGAAAATTTATCAAACGCTATTAAACAATTAAGCAATAACAAAAGTGGAGGTCCAGATATGTATATTAATGAATTGTTTATATATGGTAAAGAGGCATTGATACCCCATTTGTTAACACTTTAACAAAAATTTTCAAGTCGGACATTTTCCAGACGTATGGTCAGAAGGATTTATAATACCTTTGCATAAAAAAGGAAGCATGAATGATGAAAATAATTATCGAGGTATTACGTTGCTCAGTGCTTTAGGTAAATTATTTACTAGAATTATCAATAATCGTTTAACGGACTGGGCAGAGACATATAGTGTTTATATTGAAGCACAGGCAGGTTTTCGGTCTAATTTAGGAACTACTGATAATTTATTTGTTTTACATGGATTGATAAATCATTTTATAAATAACAATAAACAATTGTACTGTGCTTTTATAGATTTTAGTAAGGCTTTTGATTATGTAAACAGGGACAATTTATGGACAAAATTAATCAAAATTTGGTCTTAGATGCAATATATTAAATATAATTAGATCAATGTACACATCGGTAAAGTCTAGAGTAAAATATTGTAACACTTTAAGTGATAGTTTTCAATGTACATTGGGTGTTAGACAGGGAGAAATGTTTGTCTCCTTTTTTATTTTCTATGTTCCTTAACGATATTGAAGATATGTACCTTAAACACGATGTTGAAGGGATAGATGTTAACATGTTTTAAAATGTTTTTAATATTATATGCTGATGATATTGTGATTTTTGCAAACAATAGTTTAGAGTTACAAAACAATCTTGATTTGTTGTTTGATTATTGTCAGAAATGGAAATTAGTGGTCAATGCAGCAAAAACAAAAATTATGATTTTTAGAAAAGGTGGTAGAATTTCAGATGACTTAAGATTTTATTACGATGGAAATGTTATAGAAAATTGTTAAATCATTTGTATACCTTGGTTTAGTCTTTACAGTAGGCGGTTCTTTTGCTGAAACACAAAATACACTTTCTGGACAAGCTTTAAAAGCAATTTTTAAAATGAATAAATATTTATATAAATTTATAAATATCTCCGTTAGACATAGAATAGAATTGTTCGATAAACTAATTTTGCCAATTCTTAACTATGGTAGTGAAGTATGGGGCTTTAATAAAGGATTATCAATTGAAAGATTACATATGCAATTTTGCAAACGTCTATTGAATGTTAAGAAAAGTACACAAAATGACTTTATCTATGGAGAGTTAGGTAGGATGCCACTACAGAATTTTAGATATTTATAATATAATTAGATACTGGGTGAAGTTATTATATTCAAACGACAATAGATATTGTAGAAAGGTATATGATATGTTATATAATGATGTTATTATAAATCCAACTAAACAAAATTGGTGTTCACTTACGAGAAACGTATTATGTACTCTTGGTTTTCATGATGCATGGTTGTTTCAAACAATAGGTGATGAAAAATTATTTCTTTTAAATGTTAAGCAACGTATAAAAGATCAATTTTTGCAAAATTGGTCTGGTAGGTTAAATGATTCAAGCAGAGCCTCATTGTATAAATATATTGCTAATCATGGTTTTCAGTCGTACTTAGATATTGTTGTTATTAATAAATATCGTATAAATTTGTCACGTTTACGCCTATCTTCGCACAGATTATGTATAGAGACTGGTCGGTGGACCAGGCCTACGAGCACACCAGTTATTGAAAGGAAATGTAATATATGCAATATACTTGAAGACGAGTACCATTTTGTCTTAGAATGTTCTTTGTATCATGATTTGAGAAAACAATTCATCCCAAAATATTACTGGAAGCGACCAAATATGCAAAAATTTATAGAATTGTTAATGAACGATAAAAAGCAAATCCTTAAGAATTTATCATTGTATATTGAAAAAGGCTTTTACTTTGAGAAAAACTGTGTTATATGGTAATTAATGCTTTGAATGCTAAAATTACTTCACTGTAACAAGAAATGCAGTATTTAGTGTGTATGCTTTCATGTTATTATCGATTTGATATGGTATATTTTTATATAAGTAATAATGTAGTGTATGACGTGTTTGAATAATTATACCCTATTATGTAAACCTCACTTTCTTTACATGAGATAATAATTGTTAAATAAAATGATACCTTGTGTTGAAGTTTCACAACTTTCGTTTCGGGTGAAACTTCAAATTAAGGGTGTAGTCACATATTATACGCATTTTATGTGCTCATCATTATTACGCTTTTAAGTTCAATTCCAGTCAAAGTTTTACCACTTTCGTTCTTTCGTTATTTGTCGGTAAAGCTAAAATACTCATACAGTTCGACAACATTAAAAAAAAATATATATATAACAGCAAATGCGATTATTATACCAAAACAATATTCAAAACGTGTAATTTGTTAGTCTCTATTCTTATGCATGATACGGTTTTTATTCAGAATCAGAATTGTATGGGTTTTTGAAGCAAAATAGTTATATTAATGATTACAACAATATATGAGTAGATAATATATGACACATAATTAGAAAGTCTCGCTAATCGAAAATTTGATAAATTATATTATAAATACGCCTCAGTGCAAGGGAGATAACACAAATTAATGTGAATTTGCGTTTCATGTATAGTTATGTCCCCTTTCTATTGAAATTTATGAACACATATATATAAGAGACTAAAATGATTGTGTACATATACTAGATACATGTAGAGGTATGTTCAGATATTATGCATGTATATTTTGTAATATTATATATTGTTCAAAATTTATTTGTAATATATGTACCACATGGGTTTATGACCTTCTGGTTTTGATTGAATAAAATCTTGAAATCTTGAAATATGACTCACAGTATATTACTCACAGTATATCACTCACAGTATATCACTCACAGTATATAACTCACAGAATATCACTCACTGTATATCACTTACAATATATCACTCACAGTATATCACTTACAGTATATCACTTACAGTATATCACTCACTGTATATAATACAGTGTATATAACTCACAGTATATCACTCACAGTATATCACTTAACAGTATATCACTCACTGTATATCACAGTATATTACTCACTTTATATCACTCACTGTATATAACTTACAGTATATCACTCACAGTATATCACTCACAGTATCTCACTCATGGTATATCACTCACAGTATATCACTCACTGTATATTACTCACAGTATATCACTCACAGTATATCACTCACAGTATATCACTCACAGTATATCACTCACAGTATATCACTCACAGTATATCACTCACAGTATATCACTCACTGTATATCAGACACTGTATATCACTCACAAGTATATCACTTACAGTATATCATACACTGTTTATAACTCACTGTATATGACTCACAGTATATCACTCACAGTATATCACTCACAGTATAATCACTCACAGTATATCACTCTCAGTATATCACTTACAGTAAATCACTTACAGTATATCACTCACAGTATATCACTCACAGTATATCACTCACAGTTTATCACTCGCAGTATATCACTCACAGTATATCACTCACTGTATATCACTGACAGTATATCACTGACAGTATATCACTGACAGTATATCACTCACAGTATATCACTCACAGTATATCACTTACAGTATATCACTCACAGTATATCACTCACAGTATATCACTCACAGTATATCACTCACAGTATATCACTCACTGTATATCACTCACAGTATATCACTCACTGTATATCACACACTGTATATCACTCACAGTATATCATACACAGTATATCACTTACAGTATATGACTTACAGTATATCACTCAAAGTATATCACTCACAGTATATCATACAAAGTATATCACACACTGTATATCACTCACAGTATATCATTTACAGTATATCACTCACAGTATATCACACACTGTATATCAATCACAGTATATCACTTACGTATATCACTTACAGTATATCATACACAGTATATCACTCACAGTATATCACTCACAGTATATCGCTCACAGTGTGAGTATATCACTCACAGTATAACACTCACAGTGTGAGTATATTACTCACAGAATATCGCTCACAGTGTGTGTATATCACTCACAGTATATCACTCACAGTGTGTGTATATCACTCACAGTATATCACTCACAGTGTGAGTATATTACTCACAGTATATCACTCACAGTATATCACTCACAGTATATCACTCACAGTATATCACTCACTGTATATCACTTACAGTATATCACTCACAGTATATCACTCACAGTATATCACTCACAGTATATCACTCACAGTATTTAACTCACAGTATATCACTCACAGTATATCACTCACAGTATATCACTCACAGTATATCACTCACTGTATATCACTTACAGTATATCACTCACAGTATATCACTCACAGTATATCACTCACAGTATATCATACACTGTTTATAACTCACTGTATATGACTCACAGTATTTCACTCACAGTATATCACTAACAGTATATCACTCTCAGTATATCACTTAGAGTATATCACTCACAGTATATCACTCACAGTATATCACTCACTGTATATCACTCATTCACTCACTGTATATCACTCACAGTATATCGCTCACAGTGTGAGTATATCACTCACAGTATATCACTTACAGTATATCACTCACAGTATATCATACACAGTATATCATATACAGTATATCAGACACTGTATATCACTTACAGTACATCATACACAGTATATCACTCAATTATCACTCACAGTATATCACACACTGTATATCACACACTGTATATCACACACTGTATATCACTCACAATATATCACTTACAGTATATCACTTACAGTATATCATACACAGTATATCACTCAAAGTATATCACAAACAGTATATCATACACAGTATATCACACACTGTATATCACATACTGTATATCACTCACAGTATATCACTTACAGTATATCACTCACAGTATATCACACACAGTATATCACACACTGTATATCACACACACAGTATATCACTTACTGTATATCATTAATAGTATATCACTCACAGTATATCACTCACAGTATATCACTCACAGTATATCACTCACAGTATATCATACACAGTATATCACACACAGTATATCACTCACAGTATATCACTCACAGTATATCACTTACAGTATATCACTCACAGTATATCATACACAGTATATCATACACAGTATATCAGACACTGTATATCACTTACAGTATATTACTCACAGTATATCACTCAAAGTATATCACTCACAGTATATCATACACAGTATATCACTCACAGTATATCATACACAGTATATCACTCACACTATATCATACACAGTATATCACACACTGTATATCACACACTGTATATCACTGACTTTTATCACTCACAGCATATCAGACTCTCTTATAACAGCCATTGTTTATCACATACTATATATGAGTAATTGTATATCAAGCACTGTTAATCACTTAGTCTAAATTATGTATAATAACAAAATTACTTACTGTATACATATCACACGTAGCTAAAAAATAATACAGAATTTTATTGTGGAATTGGGTAAAGTACTTTTTTCTCAAGAATCTGGATGATTCTCTGGAGCCCTGAATATCTAACTTGTCAACTTTCAATTTAATTGTGGCTAATTGTTGTTCGTTGACCACGCCTATTCGTTAACCACGCCTACTTTCATGAGACATATTATCAACATTTCTAGGTAAGAAGATACGGACCGGTAGAACAAAGTTTCAGACACTGGAACTTCAGAGAAAACCTCCGAGGAAACTCAAGGTCAAATCAGTAACACAAAAGGTAAGTTTCAAGGTCAAATCTTTCGCACAAAGGTAAGTTTCAAGGTCAAATCTGTCACAAAAAACAACAACAAAAATCTGTCACACAAAAGGTACGTGCAAGGTTAAATCTGTCACACAAAATGTATGTATATGAAGGTCAAAGCTGTTACAAAAAAGGTAAGTTTCAAGGTCAAATCTTTCGCACAATGGTAAGTTTAAAGGTCAAGTTTGTCACAAAAAAAAAACGGCAAAAATCTGTCACGCAAAAGGTATGTTAAAAGCACTTTGACAAAATGTTTAAAGATATTTCCGTTCTTCATTTACTGTCTAAAAAAGACGTAAAGTATGAGATCATGGCTTTTAATATATTGTTCCTTTCTCGCAGATTAGAGTCTTTATGTTGTGAGTTAATGTTCGTTGAATCTTGTTTTGACATTGCTTCTGCCTCTTCATATTTGCTTTTGGTTTTACGTCGTACCAACACAGTAGAGATCTTATGGTGACTTTCACCTTCAATAACTGTTTTATAAGTAGAACCACCGACGTTTTGTATACTACCTGGATACCTTTCCATGAAAGTATCCAAAGCTCCTGGCGGGATTCGAACTGACGGCAGTGAGAAGCAAATGGTTCAAAGTCAACGACTTTAACCTCTCGGCCACGGTCGCCCTGTCCTGTCTCATACCGAGTCTTCTATCTAATGTGTTTGTTTTCTCTTTTTATCGTACGCAGGCTATTGCAGTTAAATGGAAGCACATAAAACCTTCATCTGGTAACGAAAGTCTGTCGGGATATGTCCTAGAATATAAACAGAAAGGATCTGATAGCACAGACGCTTGCAGTGTGGCCATTGTCAGCACGAAAAAATCGTTCAAAATTCAAGGTAACAATGCGTTCATATAATTGATTTTTAGTATCGATTATCGTTCTGCGCTCACTGGTTATCGATAGTCGCTTTGTGCTCACTGGCCTTTCCAATTTTATTTCACGACCAAAATCTATTTCATTATTACATGAATAGTTTAAATTTTCTAAATTTTGCTATAAATATGTACAATAGTTTCTAGAGGATGGTCATACAATTCTTTAATTCATTTGCACGTGTCGCAGTTTTCATGAAAACAAATCTATCTAACTTTTCTTTAATGAAAAACAAACTTTTTATTACCCAGAGCAAAATCGTTACTGACGTTTTATCATTCTGGCCCGTCCGCTTAGATCAATAGCGGGGGCATTGGACTGTTAAATCAAAGGTTCCTGGCTCGATTCTCCGGCGAACCAAATCCTCCGTAATCGGTCATTGATGTCTGATGAAGGAAAAGCCAGTTCTGTTGACAAACAGTCGTGATATGACAAAACAGTGTTGAAATTGGTAAAAAACAAAACTCAAAAAGAAATAAAACAGACATTGTCTTCTGTTAATTTTTCGACAATTTTATTTACAAAAATGCACATGTCCCACAATAGCGGGAAACATCAGCAGTATACATACATAGATATACAAAAATACATAATGGAAAACGGCTAAATTTTTATTCTTATGATGATAGTTATATATAGATTCAATATGGTGAGAAAAAAATATATTTATGTTAACATATTAAGTATGATTAATAGATCAAAATAAATGTTCACTCCTTTCTTAATAACCTGAACGAGAAGAACAGAGCTAAATCGTTACTGACTTGTTCATATTTTCTTACAGTCCTATAAACGTAACGTAAGTTAGTCGTTACTAACGTTTTATTGGTTTCAGGGCTTCTTCCCGACATGAGATATTCTGTAAGAGTTGCAGGCGTTTTTAACGATGTTACAGGTATAATTATTGTTGTTTGTTTTTATTTTATATCTATATCTAACTTAGAAAGTGGTTAGAAAGAACCATAGTTTTGAAATTATAACAATTAGAACTAAATTAAAGACATATCAGAAATTTCTGCAGTAAAATGAAGCACCTTTGAAATTTCTTTAGTTAATTGAAACAATAAATATATGGAAATTATTTTGTTAATTGAAACAGATATCCGTCAGTTTTCATAAACGCAAAGAAGAGGGGAGGTTCAGGAAACCGTTCATATTTGTCTTCTCTCAATTGTGCATCACTTTAATTATCTTCAATAATTATTATCTAGATACAATTCCGAACATTTCTACAAAAATTAATGAAGGAAGCTTACTATATTTATTTCAAATTGTGATTATTTTAAAATGCAAAGCTTCCTATTTCACTGACGTCACGCTTAAGAGTATTTAAAGAACTGTAATTATTTCCTTATCAAGATTAAGAAATGCTCATACATTTGAACCATAACTTGTCCTGACATAAGGAAAAGAAAAAGAAAAGAAAAGAGAAAAAAACCTTGCCGCATTGTAACTTTGTTTCTTCGCTGAAAATGAGTACTCTTCAAAAAAGGAGGTTCTCAATTATAAATGGCGTACGCTACTTAAAAATAAGGTGTATATTACGACATAATATCGGTCTCGTCAGTCTCGCGAGAGTCAAAATGGCGACAATCAGTGAACTTACTCTCAAGCAATAAATATTATATTAAAACATGAATTTCTCTATGATATAAAAGCTTTCATGTCACCTCTTAAAGGATAAATATTGATATAAGACAGACATCAATATATCCCTTCATAATCCTTTAAATGTATGTTTGTTATACATAAAGTACCATAATTAATTCTTTTTAAAACCACAGGACCATTCACCGAGTGGCTGCGAGTCAAGACCTTGGAGACAACAGAAGAAAATCAAGATGTGTTGGTGTATTGCACGTCACCAACTAGCGTTATGTTGTTATGGCAACTATTTCCGGGGATGACTAATGTGTCCAGCATAAAAGTAAAAGTATCAACCAGAGATGAGAGGTCTTTTTATGGTAAGTTATTAATAGCATATTTTGAAAATAAGTGTTAATTCATTTTGAGTGAGACTAAAAAATGTGTTGGAGCACGGCACTAAATACCGTATTCCGTACATACCGGACAAGGCGCATGAATGATTTAACGCTAAAATTACACTTTTTCATGAACCGAATTGCACATGAAGGCGTCCACTTCATCTTTTCTTACCGATTTATACACAATTATGAATTTTAAATGTAACAACTGGGTGATTTGACTAGCAAATATAATATTCTGAGCGAACTATATTTTGTAGAAAATCTAAAGATTTTTTTCTCCAAAATTTCGACCTTCATAATCAATGTAATAAAAAATTTTCACCATCGTATATAAAAAAGATTTTAGTCCATGCCGAAATTCAAACCAACAGCGGTAAGGCCCTGTCACACTAGCCTGCGCTTTTACTGCGTTTGTACGGCGTTGTTAAATGTAACAAAGCGCCGCGAGATCGCAAGAAAAATCATATATTTTTGATGACAAGGAGACTTAACAGCGTCCTTACGGCGATCATGGCGTTGCTACGGAGCTTCCATGGCATTTTAACGTGTTCTTATGGCGTTATATTTGGCGATTGTCTGCGTTCGGACTTCGCTTTAACTGCGTTCTTTGCGCTTCCACTGCGCTTTCACGGCGCTCACACGGCGCTATCGCGGCGTTCACACTGCGTTTAAATCGTGCTTGATATACCAGCGAGCACTTTTTCTGAATTGTCGTGTACCTGCTGCAACTGCATGCAAGCAATATACCAGCTTCTTGCCGTTCATCATCCATGGTGGAAAGGACATTTATTTGCAAACAAGTTTTATATATACAGTGGAAACCCTCTATTAACACCAAACCGACTGGACTTAAGGCACAGTGATTTATATTGCGGATGGTCTTAATTTTGGCTATAATCATCAAGGCATATATATTTCATAACACCTTTATTTGAATTTTTATGTGTAAAGATGTTTAAAAAATTATATTATAACCTTCAAATATTACTATAAACTGATGTTATAATATTTAATCCTAATACGAACTTAAGTCCTTAAGTCTGAAGATATTTAATATTACAGATTGATTTTCATAGGACTTGGTCTTGTTTCATATTCATAATTCACCTATTAATTAAGAAATTAATTCTTCACAAAATAAATTTGCAGAAAAAAAAACATATAACCACTCTGAAATTTATGTTCTCACCTTTATACAGTTTTCCAATCATAACAGTTGTAACACTTTGTTTCATCAAGTGTCATGCTTTAGAGAATTCAAACAGATGAATAACAACAAACTTGTGATCTGAATAGGTATTGACTGCAATATCAGTGGTTAAAATAAATAAATCAATGCATTGGAACTGAAACTGGTGGTCATAAAAGTGGATATGTGGTGTGGTCTTAATTGTGGACCATGTAACCATTAACATAAATAACAGAAAATTCCGTTTTTTTTTTTAATTGGTCTTAATGCCGGGGTGATCTTCATTCCTGAGTGGTCTTAATTAGGAATTCTGCTGTACTGTATTCTGCAATTTCAGATGAACGCAGTAGAATCGCATTAAGAGCGCCATGGTCGTAGTGACAGTGCCATAAAGTCGCAGTAAAGGCCCTGTCACACCAGACTGCGCTTTCACTGCGTTTGCACGGCGTTGTAAAATTTAACAAAGCGCCGCGAGATCGCAATAAAAAATGTTATATTTTTGTTGACATTAAGACTTTATGGAGTCTTCACGGCGTCCCCACGGCGATCATGGCGATGTTACGGAGCTTTCACGGCGTTTTAATTGACGATTGTCTTCGTTCGGATCGCGCTTCTACGACGTTCTTTGCGCTTTCACTGCGCATTTACGGCGGTCATACTGCGTTCTCGCGGTTTTCACACTGCCCTGAAATCGTAAAGCTCTGTAAAAGCGCCGTGTACACGCAGTATAAGCGCGGTAAATACGCCGCACAAACTCCGTACAAGCCCCGTGGATAACCACCGCGTTCATTCGGCGTTCCTTTTGCGCTTTCACGGCGCTCCTGTTGCGTTGTAGGAGATGCTACGGAGTTGCTACGGCGTCCTATCTGCGATCCCACTGCGCTCATTTTAGAACGCCGAGTGACGGCGTTTGTTTTGAACATGCTCAAAATTCGCGCCGTCGGTCGGCGTTCTATGCGATGCCACAACGATGATACGACGATGCTGCGGCGATGTTTGCGATCTTACTGCGCTCACCTCGGCGTTATGAAGTTTCACTGGACGCTGTGAGAACGCCGTCCTAGTGTGACAGGGGTTTTAGCGCGTTTTAGAAAAATACAGCTTCGTGCAAACGCAGTATAAAGCGCGGTAGAGACACCGCACAATCTCTGTACAAGCGCCGTGGCTTACCATGGCGTTCATTTGGCGATCCTTCTGCGCTTTCACGGCGTTCCTGTTACGTTGTAGGAGATGTTACTGAGTTTCTACGGCGTCCTTACTACGATCCCACTGCGCTCTTATCAGAACGCCGAGTGACGGCGTTTGTTTTGAGCATGTTCAAAATGCGCGCCGTCAGTCAGCGTTCTATGCGATGCGACTGCGATGCTGCGGCGATGCTACGATGATGTTTGCGATCTTACTGCGCACACCTCTGCGTTCTGAATTTTCTTTGGACGCCGTGAGAACGCCGCCCTGGTGTGACAGAGACAAGAAATTAAAGCCACGAACCATAACCACTCCGCCCCGAGAAATATTGTATTGTAATGAGAAAATAGGGATGTTACAATAAATTCTTGTTCGTGGGTATAATTTTGCTAAAGTGGGTTTAATTTCTCTAAATTGGGTTTAATTTCTCTAAAGTGGGTTTAATTTCTCTAAATTAGGTTTAATTTCTCTAAAGTGAGTTTCATTTTTCTAGAGTGGGTTTAATTTTGCTAAACTAGGAGAGTTCTGCAAAAGGCAAGTGAGCTAAACACGATAATCTGGAGACTCTCTAGCAAAGTTTTGTAAGCAGGTCTGAACCTAGCAAATAAATAGGATTGAAATACTATAAATAATAAAAAAATATATGAAAAAATAAGGCACCGCTGTGAAATGCTCAATTTGTTAGCTCGTCTGTTTCGAAGAAAAGAGTCGAGCTATTATAATTGCTGTGTCGTCGTAGTGGTCGTTTTCGTCGTCGTACAAAATAACTTCAATGTAGCCCCTTTATTCAAACGCTTTAAAAGTTATCAGCTTGAAACGTGGAATACTTGCTTATCATGGCAAGGTTCAGTTGTTAGACAAAGGGCATAATTATGACAGCTATTTTTTGAAGTAATGCCCCTTTTAATTAATTAAGATTTGTTGTCAAAATTGCTGATAACGGACGATTGATAACACCGGATGCGGTGCTCTTGTGATTTTAGGTACATGCGATGAACATCAGTGGTATGCTTAATATATTGTTTTGCAGTTGAGCCAAACTTATTCTACATGACATTAAAAGATAAATGCTTAAAACTAGAAGAAATATATAAACCAGTATGAATTGCTCTTTTGGTTTAAGTTACGTGTGAAAAAATATTGGCAAGGGTATACTGCAAATCACTTAATATTCGCGTGATCTTTATTTCGCAAAAACACCATTTCCCAAATCGTTTTTGTTACAGTTGAGCAGAATGTACTCGTGGACAGTAAAGAATTTGTTGTTGACGGTGATAAGAGTGTAATAGAGGTGAACGACCTGATTCCGGAAACTCGATATCAGGTGACTTTAGAGTTCAGAGGGATTAACAATCATTGTAAACAGTACAAAATGCAAAATTTTGTTACCGTAGAAGGTATGTTTACTTTATTTAGTGATATTAAGGAAAAATCTGTTAAAATGTGTTTCTTTTGTTTGTGTAAAAACAGGTTGAGATAAGATCTCATTGGACCTTGTTGGCCAATAAGAGCGAAAAGTTGACAAAGCGAGTTCAAAGTATTCTACAGTAATAATATTAATATTCGATTATTTAAGGTTGAACACGAGGTCACACTGGTCTTTTATGTTTACAATTGAAATGTATTGGTTAATTCGATCAAGATGATTACTAAACCTACTTAAATAGAGAAAGGCAGTTTATAATAATAATTATAATAATAATAATAATGATGATGATCATGATGATGATCATGACAACGATGATGATGATGATGATGATTATGATGATGATGATGATGATGATGATGATGATGATGATGATGATGATGATGATGATTATGATGATGATGATGATGATTATGATGATGATGATGATGATGATGATGATGATGATGATGATGATGATGATGATGATGATGATGAAGAGGAGGAGGAGGAGGAGGAGGATAATAACAATATATCAATAAAAATAATAATAATAATAATAATGATTATAATAATTATGATAATAATTATAATGATAATAATAATTATGATAATAATTATAATGATAATAATAATTATGATAATAATTATAATGATAATAATAATTAACAGCAATAAATTAGGTTAACAGTTGAATTAAATAGAGAATTTAAGAAACGACAATTGCAAATGACTGCAAATTCGTGTATATTCCTTCTTTTACATGAACTATGTTATTCATTTTACCTTAAACTGTTAAATATAAATACAACAGAAGTGTTATTATGCATACATAATATATTGTACTGTTCAAAATGTATTTAGAATCTACAATATAAGTATTTATATTTTTTTATTTTTCTATTTCTTACGGGTTTGATTGAATTTGTTCCTATTTTTAAAATTTATTCATATTTTTATAATTTGTTACTATTTTTAAATAATTTGTAACTATTTAAAAATGTGTTACTATTTTTAGCAAAGTGTGTTGAAGGTTGCATAATTCAGCCGCTAAACGAGTCGTATATTTACGAGTCATACCTTCGTATGATTCCGTTACCAAACGACATTTACCTCGTCACGTGGCAGTACTATAGACAATTTACAAACCAATCAGAGTTCAAATACGTCATTAGAGTTTTAGGTAAGAACAACGTCTGCAAGCAAGCAATGTTTTTATGGCCTTATTGTGAATTAAATTTAAACAGATCTACAAATTTACTCTTATTGTAATTCAAAACTTGAAAGACTATTTTAATTACTTTGTTCAAACATTATCAAAGCTGAATGTTATTTTAAGAGAAAAATGGAAATAAAAGTTTAAAGGAGACGTTTTTGGCCTTTCTAAAATTTATTTTACATGGCGATACAGGTGTTTTCTCTTCATATGAACCAGATAAATTCGGTGAAAGTGATTTCTGTTTTTAATTTGATTTGTTATTATCAATTTCTTTATATGTTTTATTCAATTTATTTTTGAATTGAAAGAACGGCACTTAATAAAGATATTGACACCCCAACTCCAGTCCCCTTTATGTATATACGACATTTAATGCATAATTTTCAACGACGTACAAATTGAAAATTGTCATGAACTATAAAAGCTGCATGCATCTTGATGAGTCAAACTATTTTTCGAAAATCAACCTTGAAAAATATGAAGTAATATTTTTTTTTAAAAGAAAAACGTTTAATTTAAGAAATAATTTATATCTTTTGACATTAATGACCGAGTTTTCCATATTAATCACCATATTTGCACTGCTTGAATAACGCAGTAAGCGCAAGTTTTTGAATATTCTGGCCAGTCTTTGGTAATTTTCGAAGATTCTATGTGTCGTTTGCAATGCGTAAGTTACTTTCTTTGATCATTTGAGTATATAATACTTTTTAAAACATCTAAAAAAAATCACGAAAATTAGCATGGATCTTGAGGCACGCTGCTTTAAATTACAAGAAATAAATGAGCCGCGTCACGACAAAACCAACGAAATGGATTTGCGACCAGCACGTATCCAGACCAGCCTGCGCATCCGCGCAGTCTCATTAGGGTCCACGCTGTTCGCTTACAAACCCTATTACAAGTAGAGAAACTGAAAGCGAACAGCATGGATCCTGATCAGACTGCGCGGATGCGCAGGCTGGTCTGGATCCATGCTGGTCGTAAACCCACTATGTTGGTTTTGTCATAACGCGGCTCAAATAGTAACAGTCTCATGACGTCACATTCGTAAACCCACTATGTTGGTTTTGTCATGACGCGGCTCAAATAGTAACACTCTCATGACGTCACATTGTTGCAATTATTTTCAGGAGAACCATTTTTGAATCAGCTTTCAGCCAACCTTGTTCCAAACGGTAACAGATACTCTCTTCTGACACAGTTGAACCGGAGTAAAACGTACACCATAAATCTTCAGGTCTTCAGTTCGAGCCATGGGGGTCGACCTTTAGCGTCACAGTATCTTCTAGTGATGCCCATGTCGGGTAAAAAAACTTTTTAAAGATATACTATGTTTATCTTTGGGTAAAATACTATTATCGCAAAACTTTATTGAAATCTAGTAAATTCTTCCCGAATATGACTAATTTGAATAAATAAATGATTAAAGTGTGTTCGGAAAAATGCATTGTCTATTAATTTGTTCTAGTCTTATAAAAACTGCCTGTTTTATTTTAAACGTTACTTTGTAATCATAATGCGAGTAAAGTTTAAAACGTAACATTTTCTGTGTGTATTCAAAAGATGTTTATTTTACATTAAAATGACGACTGTATAATAGTTATCAGTTTTTTTCTTCAAATATTAAATTTGAGCATAATATATCTTTTAAAAAGATAACAATTTAAACGTTCACTGCTGTGAAGACCTAACAGTATTAAGTAAAAGATATTATTTTAATTATTATGCCCCCTCCCCCATGGTAATTGCAAGGGGGCATATAGTGTTACTCCTGTACGTGCGTGCGTTGGTTTGTGTGCTTGAAATCCTTGTCCCGCCCCTAACTCATACATCAAAGGATTTTGAAATAATGTTTAAGTCAGTTGTTATCAACGGCCATCAGACCTCTTACTTTAAAAGGTATGTTATTGCTAAAAAGTTTATAAAATCCAGCTATGCTGTCTTGTCAAAACATCTTTATTAACTAATATTGCTCTAAAATATTTCTCCAGATCATATGCCAACTGAAATAATTTCTGTCATATAATAGAATCAATTTGTTTTTTGTTTTTGTCACCTCCATTTTCTTCCATTTTTTTCCCTTGTATTTTCTTTTTGACCATTTGGTCTTATATCTGTTTATTGCAAAATACCTCATTTCTTTGTAAATGTCTTATTAATTTTCATCTGGACGAATTTTGTGAATAATAATGCTATGAACTATAAATAGTTAACTGTTATAACTGGGAGAGGACACTTATAGGCTTTCATAGCTGTCTTCCTTATGTGTAAATATTGTTCATCATAATGTTTATATATCGAATTTATATGTATGTTTTAAAAAAGTAGGTATCGTTACAGAATAATAAATGGCATGAATTAAGTCTGGATGTTACACTCTACATGCTACAAGAATCGAAATTTGATATGTATATGTGATTGCATTTTTCAGCGGTCAAGGTGGCTAAAAGTTAAAAACTGTTGACGTCGAAATCTCGTTTTAAGATTTCTGTTGTTTTTTCACTAATATATTGGAATTGATACCTACATGTCCGAAAAAAAAAAAAAAACAAACAAAAACGTCCTGACTACGAAAACTCGATGGTTTCACATTTTTCATTGAAATTTTTATAATATTACTTTTTTTTCTTTGGTTCTCATTTACGTATACCTTTTGAACTTGGTTATTGTGTTGATTTAAAAGTAAATCAAAACAAGATGGTTCGAACCATCGATCTATTGGCCGGTCTACCTGCCAAGCTGTTGAAACAGAAATGTATTTTTTTGTATTTTAGAGATTTGGCATGGTGACATGAAGGAAATATCTAACGTGGAGTCCTCAATTATCTACCCATGGTCGGCAACTAGCATTGATATTATTATGAATTTAATTGACAGAAATGAAACAGCATTGTTTGAGACATTTGATTCCTGTAAGTTTAGGAGAAAATGGTGATGATGATGATTATAATGATGATGATAATGATGATGATGACGATTATCATAGTAATACTTATGATGAAAGTAATAATAATAATAATGATTATGGTGATGATAGTGATAATGATGATGATGATCACGATGATGCTGATGTTGTTGTTGTTGTTGATGATGATGTAGATGATACTAGTATACATGATGATGTTGATTATAACTATTTTTGTTGTTGTTGATGATGATGATGACGGTTATGATGTTAATGTTGATGATGATGATTTTGATAATACTAATAATACTAATGATACTTCTTATAATAAAAGTAACAATTGTAATTATAATAAAAACAATAATCATGAATACTATCTCGTTTAAAGAGAGTTATTTTAAGACATCAAGTGACCATTTTATTCTCCTTTTAAAACACAATATCTGTTTCAAGGACGATCTGAAGTTCAATGTTTCTATTCCAGATGATGTTCAAAACATACCAGAAGCAAATATTACACTTCTCTCCAAATTAAACGTGGAAGAAACCTGGGCCGGAAATATATCTACAACTCCCATAGGTAATAGTTCAAGTTTTTATCTCATTACCGTGCCGATTTTGCGACTCCGTAAAAATGGTATTGCACGGCCGTACATATAATTTTGACTTGACGTCATTTGCGTTATACAAACAAAGCGTAAAGACGCGCTTAATGTTAGCGTTTATACTATAGGCGCGTCAATGAAAAATGATTCAGAGGCTCGCATTATATTATTTTATTAAATTCGTTTAATTATTTAGTTAATATTAGTTAATATGCCTTTATATATTGTTACATAGAATACAGTCGCGATTGCGTGACACAAATGTTGTTTTTTTATTTTGATATGACAGACAATGATTCAATATTTAGAAAAAACAAAACACAAACAAACAAAATCTAGCAAAATATTTGTAAGCAGTAGAAAACAGCAGCAATACGCTAAAATATAATGTGCATAAAGCACATGGGAGTAAAATAATAGCTCCATAGTGCAATTTCAGCTAAACTGACGTCACTGTCAACGGAAACATGGACATTTTAGTATCTAAATGAACACAGGAGTAAATCGAACCAGCTTCAATTGAAAATAAATCAATTGATTGGTGAACTTTGTGCTTATATAAGAAATATTGCAAGAAGTATTGCGAGTTTGCTAGATTTATTTATAATATATAATATATAAAAAATTGAAATAAAGTTATTCTTATGTATTTCAATGCATGCATGATTTTTAAACTTTTAACAGTACCACAAATCCATCCAATGGAAGACGTGGTCATACAAGAAGACAAGTCATTAGTGATCACGTGTTTTGCCCAAGGTGATCCGTATCCAATGACGTCATTGCTAAATATATCCTCCAATCAGACGCTAGGGGGTGAGGGAAATTGATGTAAACCAAACTATGTTTGTAAGTTAATTGTTCTTTTATCTTCAGAACCTTTTAAATGTTTTTTTTCATTGGCAAGCCTTTCATTTTCTATAAAATTCTAAAATTGGTCAAGCAGAGAGGTGACGATTTTGTGTCCTACACTATAGCATATAATTCCAACTTTTAGATGGTGGAGGAATACCTCGAGTGCCACTTTATCCCAATGCTTTATTTCAGGCCAGAACAAACAGTTTTCCTATGATATTGAAAATTATTTTGTTAAACGGACAAAGCAAAAGTCATATGACGATCTTCCAGCTTTAAATTATGGAAAAGTTACCTCAGGTGCGCCTGTGTTCCCTTGCTTTATTTTTTTAAGGCCAGAGCGGCTTAAGAAATTAAATTTAACCTTCTTTAAAACCAACATCTTTCACCCAGCAAAGACCAACATTTTTGTCTCCTTTAGCCTTAAAGGAGTTGCTCTGCAGAAATTGTTCAAAATTTAGATGACAATCCTTAAATTTTCTTAACTATCAAATAATCAAATTAACTATAAAAATATATCAAATTTTGAACTATCATATTACCTTGTTGGTAAATCATATTCAAAATATTTTGGAGGACCGTTGCCGAGCGATTAAGGTTGTTGACTTTCAACCATTTGTCCTTTACATCTGTGGATTAAAATGATGCCGTTAAGGACTTTGGATTATTTCATATCGAGAACTTAAATTATACATTCTAGCAAGACTGACTTTACAAATTCTTTTCAGATAACCTGTACTCTAACTACAACAAATAAAGGTCATTTTAAGTTTTTTAACACTTAAAGTAAGGTATAATATATTTGTTTTGTAGCTAAAATCACGTTTGTCAATTTTTTACTTAGTTTTTTTTTTAAATTATAAATCGTATGAACTAGAGATGTGCGTTTTTAAGGTAGCATGCCTCCAGATTCCTGCTTATTTTCACGACAATTTTTTGAAAAATAATGTTTTTTTTTTAAAAGGCAAATTATTGTGAAGTGTACAAAGAACTACATGTATGTTACATATTGAATTAACAAACAGAGGTCAAAATAAGCAAATAATAGTCTTTACTGCGTTAGAAACGCAGTTGAAATATGTTGCTAAATGCTCCAAAAATCAGTCATACTATGAAAATAATTCCACAAATCTTGAAATTCTTGCTATTTCTTTTTACTTTTTTTTCACATTTTTTTGTAGATTTTTCTTCAAGTTTGAATTATTTTTGGTTCATTTGGAGGAATGCAGCTTTTAAAAATTAAAACTTTGTTCTCAATTTTTTCGCCCATCAAATACAATTGCTGAACCAAAATATGTTGGTAGTACGTAGTCTGGTAGATGGTCGAGCATTTACTGGAGTCAGAAAGTTTATATCTATTACCAATGCTGACATTTTGGGATTCTGGGAATGTACGCATGCGCGTCAGAAATATTGCCGGAAGTGACGTCACTACTTTTAAGATAACAGTATTTCGTAAGTCAATTATCTCGAAATACTACTTTAGTCAGTAATTGATTTTTAGAAGTGAATAAAATTTATGGAAAACATTTCCTAAACCGTCGCACTGTATTTATGTAATAGCAGGGTTTTTTCTGTAAATATTAGTGCTTCTTTTTTCGAATGGCATTTGGTTAAATGTAAGGGATGTGACAAAAACACCTGTAAGTGAAACAATCTTGCTATACCTTACTAACGTATTTTTTTTAGCTAAAACCTCCAGGCAAAGTTATTGGATTGTATGCCATCTCACTAACACCATTCGAGATTGCGGTTCGGATTGAGCAAGCGCCTGATGACAAAGATTTTGAAGTACCCTGGTCACGTGTTAGGATATCCACTTGTCCGTGTTGGATCTATGAATATCACGTGGTCCTTAGAGAGAAAAATGTTTCCGATACACTGATGACAATACAAAAACATGGCTCCAAGTACAAGATACGCTGGTGTATGTTTTGTTTATGTTACGAACATGAAGAAGAGCTGTATAACAAATATGCCAAAATAGTTAACGTTCCTTTTTACGTTAGGTTCACCATTTCCCGAATGATAAATCTCCCTTTTCGAAAGTAAAGGTACTATTTTTAAGTGAAATAAGTCAAAGTATTTCCGTCTGGGATTAACCATTTATATTCCAAATAAAGTAACGCCTGAAATAAAAAAAAGGTCAGTTACCCTTCTGATGTGAGATAAATATTAATATTGTAAGATAGGCGGATTTCCTTAATTTACTTTTTTTTTTTTTTTTTTTTTTTTTTTTTTTTTTTTTTTTTCGGGAACTTTATCAGGCAAAATATGTTAATTAAAACATGACTGGCTTTCTTCAATGTTTCCCATTGCCGGGCTTCTTCTTAACTAGCAGATATCTTAATACAGATTACAAGTTGCGGCATTCCACCCAGTTTGATGAAGGCTGAGGATAGTTTGATACCCGTTGAAAACACCTGATTATACCAAAGTTAGCGACCGCCACAAAGGATTCCTTATGAAAACCTTTAAACAGCACGGTAAGAACTTTATTTTTGTTTTATAATTTTGAAAATCTTCATGAGATTTCAAAAAGTCAGCATAATTATTATAGATACATATTTATAGAGAGAAGTCAATTTACGTAGTGCGCAGCCATTTTTAACGTAACTAAATAATAATCGCCGGGGTATTTCGATTACAGAATAATCGCAACTTTGCCAACTTTCATATTATTTTTTTTCTGCTCATCACGATTCAATGATAATTTTTTGTGGTAAAATTACAGTAACTGTCAAATTGTTAAGTAATGTTAAATGTTCAAGGGAAATTACTCTTTCATTACAATTCGTGAGTATTGTGTAAGGATGATCTCCCTTGCACTAAAAGTTAAATCTTAAATTTGTACATTGTAGGGCCCACAGTAGAACTTTGGTCAAGAATTAAGGAAATTAGGACAAATGACAAAACATTTCGGCCTAAAAGTTAATTACTTTAAGGTTCCTTGTGGACATTCTTCAATATTTGTCTTCAAATTAAGCCAATTAAAAACTGAGAATTTAATACCACATGATAACAAAATTACCTTAAAAATAAATTTCGCCATGTTTTTGTCGGTTACCTAATATATTAGAAATCTGAAATACTATTCTTAAATGCACAAAAGCCCGAATCAGTGTGTAGGCTCCCAACTGGATTAGTCAATATAAATGGAATATTTCTGTTTAAAAAATTATCTCTATTGTTCAGAAAGGAGCTATAACAGGTTAAAACAATTCGCAATACCCGGCTAGCGCATTTTTGGCCAAAGCTTATACTTAGTTATTTAAAAGAGTTTAACATCATTACATATTTTCAGACAATACAGGTGTTCATGGCTGCCACGATAGAGGTTATTGAGCGACGCATTTCACACTAGCTTTGCGTTTCCGCGTTTCATTACTCGGGAAGTGGGAAGTCCAACAAATAGAGGAGATGCAATTGATAGAAATGTTTACAAACGTTTCCAATAATCGCGTAATATTTTATTTCTCATTTTTCACTGAAAGTGTAAAAAAACATTATCAATTTTTGATAAAAAAAATGTCTTTTTTTGTTGTTGGTATAGGAATATTGCGTTTCATAAAGATGTTTCAACGACGTTAAAGTTTCTAAAATGACTATAGGAGAATTGGCGTTGGTTTAGTTTTTGTAGCTGCTCTTTGTTTAATTTTGTTTGTTTTATCTTTGTGTAAAGGGCAATCTGTAATTATTATAATGTTTTTAAATATTTAACTATTTGAACAAAATGGCCAATATATATAAATGCGGCTTTTAAATGCGGAGTGAGAAAATCACGTTTCAAAACATTAAAGAAACTGGATCCAAAATATTTCAAAACGAAGCAATTGTTATTCAACCTATCTACCATTTTACTCAAAATTTCGAAATAAACATTTTAAAACGAGTCAAGTTTCCATCTGTCGCCGGTTTCGGAACACTTTGACCTTTTTAACACCGTCACGTTCTCAACCCAAGTTACGATGGAAACTGTCTCTTTAAACTTGCTTAATGTTTTTATACGATTCCATTGATTCTCTAATTTCAAATACTTTTAGTGCTTTTATCATTGATCGTTTATACATTTTATATTGAGAGGTTTATTAATAAGTCTCGTTTGATTAAGTTCAATATCATTTAGGTTTGATGCCGGAGAGAAAAATACGAGGCAACAGGTTTAGCCATGTTCCGAGGATGCCTCAGATATCGTTCACTGATTGGATACAAGGCAATACATCTAGGGAATCCTTCATGAACGGTAAGTTTAAATGTCATACTTTATCCGAAACACGTTTCTTGCAAGACCTACACATTTGGTCCTAAATAGTATACACATTTGTGTATAGGAAACGTAACAAATCATACATTGCGGAAAATGTTCACTAAAGGTGATCACCATTTTCACAAATATGTATTTTCTCGTGTATCATACCAATATAACGATTTTCACAAGTTCATCAATATCATCATTCCCTTCAATGTGTATACTTACATAACATCTAGGTGTAAAGCCCTGCACCACAACAAGTGTTTATTTAAGTATATTCTCTCCAGTGTGTATTCTCGTGTTGTTAGTCACACGTGTGATTAAAAGTGCAGACGACCACAAACTTCTTTTATATAACATACCAGACAAAAACTGTATATTACTGAACTACCTTTAGTATAATCATACAATATGCTTTCATCGTTTTATTAATAATTTGCTTATTGTTTTCTTCTCCTTCAAAAAAGAGAGCGTAGTACCGCCACCACCCAATAACGTGTACCTCAACCTTCAAAATGGTAACATCATAATATCATGGTTACCTCCCTTCCCTGACGAAAATATTCTCGTGCGAGGTTACGTCATTGATGTTTTCTACAACAACACAAAACTTCAGTCGATGCAAGTTGACCACGAAGAAAGCAGTGTTATTATTTACGGTGTAGGTAAGTACAACAGTAGTTTCTTAGTGCAATATGTAAAAATATTAATTTTAGTTTAAACGTCAGAAAAAGCAGAGCTATTGCCGTGGTTTAATAGATGTCTGGAGAATTGTCTAGTTTTGTGGCAGAAATACACGTGTTTTTTTTGCGGTACACGTGTTCAAAATTTTGTTTTGTTTCGGAAATACACATTATATCGGATACTCACTTCAACTGTTAATATTTGTCTCAGGAATGCATGTTTATGTCAGATGTTTACGTTAAATGTTTTGTTTTGTTTCAGAAATACACAAATTATATCAAATGCTCGCGTTAAATTTTTGTTTTGCTTCAAAACTAGATGTATTAACAAGCACTATTTTGGTTTTGTTTAAAAACTAGGCGTAATTATCGATAACCTAGAAGGTTTTCTCCTGTTTCAAAACTAAGTGTATCTAAAAAATATATTCATTAAATGTTAAGTTTCAAGTTACTAGGTGCATTTAGTGCAATACTCTCCTTAAATGTTAGTTTGTTGCGAAACTACATGTACGTATGAAATTAACCTTGAATTTATTTTGTTTTCAGAAATGGGTGTATTATACAGGATTTCTGTCAGGGCGAATAATAGGGCGGGTGAAAGTATAGATCAGTGGGAGGAGCTTAAGATACCGGTAGAACGTAAGCACGTGCTTTTTAACATGCTTTCAAAAAAAAGAGAGAAATCATGGAATAAGGTTAGACAAGCATTGGAGTTTTTTTAAGAATAAGTTTTATGTTTAAATATCAAATACAAGAATATGAGATACAGCATATTATTCAGGGTCAATACTTTCAAGGGGTTTGAATGAAAGTAAATCGTTCATATTTATATGTTTGGAACTGAATGAAATATGTGAAATGAATTTTTCATGTTTTTTCTCTCTCTTTAAAACTCACATCAGAGGTCACCAAAGAACCGGTACAGAATTTTAAGGGAGAAGCGTTATCATCAACTAAACTTGAACTAACATGGGATCCGCCCGAGTCCGGGGTGTTTTCAAGGTTTGTTCTCTCGTACACACTGGCTGGTAACCTGAAGCCGGAGTTACCCGGAGGCGGAAATCTACCAGCGAGCTCTAGGAGCTACATAGTAAGGTATGATAGTACAGTAAGTAATAAATTCTCTGCTAGTTCTAGAAGGAACATAGTTAAGGAAGAAGTACAGTTGATAGTTAAGCTACTGCTAGTCCTAAAAGGAACGTAGATAGACAAGAAATACAGGTAGCGGTAAATTTTATACTAGTTGTAAAAGAAACATCGATAGGCAAGAAATATAGTTAATAGTAAAGTTACTGCTTGTTCTAGAAGGAACATAGTTAGGCAAGAAGTACAGAAAATAATAAATTCTTTAGGAACATAGTTAGGCAAGAGGTACAGTTAATATTAGATTATTATTATTAAATTATCTGCTAGTTCTAACATAGACAGGCAAGAAGTATAGTAGATATTAAATTCTCTGCTAGTTCTAAAAGGAATATAGTTAGGCAAGAAGTATATAGTGAGTAGTATAAACTTAAAACATTCTCTCACCGGATAACTCTCTTGGATTGGCTAGATACAATGTATGAAGAAGAATAAAATATTAGACTTTCTATTCTTCTAAATTTGCTTCGATTGTTCAATGCTCACCTACATACTGTTTTCTGTCGTCTGCTTCTGGTTACATATTTCAGTAAAACTTCCTAATTTCAAGATGGCGCATAACATTTATCAATATGGCGCGGTCTATATACAGTCTGAATGCAAATAAGTCATGTAAAGCTGTGTTAACTTATTAAGCAATGTCATTTCAAGTTCAGTTATCGCTAATTGACTGAAACTGTATAACGGGAACATTTTAAGACATTAAATAACAAGATATTATCAAATTATAGAACCCCAGACATGATTATGAGTGAAGGGAAAGTTAGACAGACGAGAAGCCATTTAAAATATTCAAATTACTCGTAGATTTTCATGAAAGTGCAAAGGTTACTAGGTTTTATTTTGTCAACTTTTAGAACTAAAGAAATGTAAATAAACAAAAAGAAATAAAAACACAAAAAACTCCTATACAGAAAATAAGGAACGAATAACTCTCTAAGAATTATAAATATCCTTGTTTTATTATCCCCCCTTTTGTGGGGGAGAATATAGTTTTAACAACATCCGACCGTCCATTCATGCGTCCGCCACACTTTATGTTCGGTTAATAACTTTATTTATGGATCGGTTTTGAAATTGATTTGCATAAATGATAACTACAATGTAACGTGGCTGCGCAAGAATTAGGTATCCAGCTTAAGTCAAGAACACACTTGTACTTTGAAATTCGTGATATTAGAATTTCATAAAGATGCATTAAAGATCCAGTAATCCGGTCATTCCGAATACCTCGGAGGTCAAGGTCACTCTTGTTGATCGATTGCGAATAGATTGCTATGTGCGGTCTATGACTTTGTCATTAATATATGATTTTTTTTAACCAATTATGCATGAATATTAATCCGAATAAACGCTTATGTGCCGCAAACGTTAACAATGTTTCTAGCCCAGAGGTTACGGTCGCTGTTAACTTGAAGGGTACGGTGTATTGCTATTCGTGTTAGGTCAACAATTCTGTCATTTATTGAGTGACTTTGAAAAATAAACCCCAAAAACTTGACTGTATAATTGTGTTGCATTTTAAGACGATGAATCGCTGTCGAAAATAGTTCTCTAGCTCAAAGGTCAAGTTCCTACACTTGTAACGCATAATTGAAAAAACAACTTGTTGAATAATCGCATTTTTTTATAGCAATATATACGTGTTATCAAACATTGGCTAGTTTATCCGTAGAGAATGCAGGGTACTCATAGTATATTAAAATGATATAGATTGTGTATACAATAAACAAACTTTTCATTAGTAAATATACTGCTAAGTTACGAAGGTTCTTAATTATTTGATGTTAGTTTAATTAAGTAGTGTTTCGAAATTTAAACTTTTCTCTAATTTATCATTTTATGTATTGACAGGTCATTGAGGCCGTTTACGGGATATTTCTTCCAAATTACACCGTTTCTTAAAGACATACGAGGTGTGACGTCAAACACAACGGTGGTGACGTTGACTGATAAGCCTATGGCGCCACCTACAAATATTTCACTCACTGTACTGAATGCGACAGTAAGTACCTAAAGTATTTTGATTAAAGGTAACTGACCCCGGTGAACATGTATTTGAGTTGACATATATATAGTTTTCAAATAATGACGTGCAGTTTTAAAACACCATTTCATGTGGAAAAAAAAATGTACTATAACGAAATATACCGTCACCTTAGTACAATAACTGAATAACTGCTATTATTTAGAAGCACTTATTGCATTATTGAACTAAGGTGACGATACGCACATTCTTGCGACGCAGCTTCGAGTTTAATATGATATTACCCGAAAACACGTCAATGTTTACCTATTGAGTAGGGTTTGAGAAGGGTTTGATTTCGTTATTCGTTTCGAATGAGAAATGGCCATTGAAGCTGCCTCGACATTACGCAAACATTAACGTTCGGGGATTGTTTTTCAAGTGTAATTATTTAGTAATTAGTAATTTTGAAGCGCACAAGCTTAAGAGGGTCGAACAAGTCTGAATGATACAACTATTTTTAATATAACTTTGTTGATTTCCGTGCACATTGTAATAAATGGTAAAGTGTCTCGGGTCAAGATAACCATACGATACATATTTCATCTATTTACCATTCAATAAACATCTCATAAATTCAGCGTTTCTCAGTTTTATTTCTCTGTATTCGCATGCAAGAAACCAAGAAAATATTAATTTAAAAAGTCGGGAGTCCATTTACTTGTCTGACAATTTCCGTGCAAATTTCAGACATTCATTTTTTTGCCTTTATGCCACGTGACTTGTTTATTAATGATATAGGGAAAAGTACGAAGCCTCTAATGTAACACCATAAACCCTTTTATGAATTTTTTCCTTGTTATTTCGTTTAAACGAATTATCGCTTTGTTTGTTAATAAAAAATGTTTATTTCCTATTTAATAGAGGAAATTTTTTTTTTGCGTAAGATTTGTATTAATAAATATCATTTTAAATGAAATTTTCTTTATATTGAATAGAATATCAAAATATGATTTCCCGACTGGCAGCCCTCCATTTCAGACTAGTTTCTCATAAATACATGAAGTTTTGAGCTAAAAATAAGTTCCAAAATCAACCTTAATGGCGATGATATATGTATTTTATCAAACAGTAAGAATGATCGCTTGTTTGAATAATAAAAAACAGTTCTAGTAGAAGAAAATATCACACAATCAGTCCTTATTTCCGTTATTTTCAGCGGAAGTTTATATTACATTAGGCTTTGTGTACATGTGTAATATAAACGGCCGTCATTTTTCAAAGTTGTGTATTTCACGGGAGGAAAATAATAGTATTTGATTCAGAGGGATTTCATTTTGATTTGGCAGTCTTACATCTATTTAAAAGCAAAATACTTATTTGAGGATTGTTTAAGACCATTAATAGTTGTCGACAAATTTGTAAACGTTCAAAAAGCGACTAGGAATTTTGAAGGAATGGAATAATTATTGTTGAAAGGCTGTCCCAGGAACGCTCGGTTGTTTACTTATTCTTCGATCTGGTGACAGTCATTGCATTTGATATGGCATTAAGCAGTTATTGCTCGTAGGATACTTAAATATGCCCAAAGTCATCAAGAGCAGTTTCGCATATGGAAGGAAGTGTATTTTTAGACTGTAAAAGTGAAACAAAAAACATTATAGACGATATTTGGTGATTTGTAATTTGAAAGAATTTGTCAACTTTTGCTTTGCTTTTCTTTAAACAGCCCTGACAAAGTCAGAATTGTAGGCAAATATAAAATTGATGTTCCACATGGGGAAAATCGTTAGACAGTAGTCTCGTCAAATTATATTTTGATAATTTTCACTGTAAAAATACACAAAAAAAACACACTGAAAACTACCCACATGCAATACAAAAAAAAATGAAGAAGAAGAAATGGTTATTTTTGTTAAAAACAATTGATTGTTTTTCTTTATATTTTTGTTTAATGTTTTCTATTTTCGTTTATGATAATTATATGTATTGTTCAGTAAAGTTTACCGTAGACATTTTCATTTTATCGTGTAAATGAATATTTTTTTCGATTTTTTTGTTTAAACGAACAATTTTTCATAAAAAAGGGAATTGATGTATTGTGTTGCATATTGGACTCCGTACATTATAGGAGAAGCGTGATATGTTTGTGAACTTGAGTGCAGAAAAAGATTTTGTTACAGAGGTACGCCATTATATGCAGACAAGTTAATTGCAAACAAATAACTTCGGAGTCTTATCTTTCGCATTAGCAAGTCTCTAGAGTATATCATGATAATGTGATATAAGCAAAAGTTCAAGCTTACAATTCTAACTTTGTCTTTTAGTGGCGCAAAAAGGAGATAAAAGACTATACACTATGCATCATACCGGTGTACTTTAAGAATTTTGAATATTTTTCTTTATTACAGCGTGCCTTATTAAAATGATTTCCGGAGGATTTTTTTTTAGTTTCCGGTATATCGCTAGAGTATCTTTTAAGATTTTTTTGTGACGTATTTGACCGTACAGTTAATAACATTTGATAAGACGTCCGATTTGATCTGGAACAAAGAAAGTATGTTTGTTTGTTTCGGGTTTTCGGCGTACCAACACAGTTTAGGTTAAACAAAGAAATATTGATAGAGTTTTTTACATATCATGAACAATGGCTAAAAAAGAATGCCGCCTTTTGCCTCGATCTTTTTTATCCATTTCAGTCCCAAAAAAGAATGCGATTTTTAAGGCTCGTCCCCATGTTTTCTTCCAAATCAATAACGCATAAAAAGTTCACATTCCCTTTTTCGAGAGCCTGGGGTTTTGGAGTCAAGGAAGTTTAAAATAAATTTGACACAATTTTGCTTCTTAATATCTTTAAAGCAATGCAGTTGAACATTAGCACATTGCGGTAAACCTAATTTAGGAGAAATATATTTTTTTTATTTCTTAAGTATTTCACTTTAGCAATAATGTTAACTTACACGGTCTTAAGTAAGATATAAAATTGATCTTACACCCTATGACTTAAGATACACTTAGGATACACGACTTTCTATAAAATGCAGTCATCGCTTGAGTACAATAACGCCAACGTGAAGCTTTGACAAGGGTGTAGCTTAGTATACATTTGTAATGAACCCCCATGATTTTGTATTGCTTTGAATTGTCGGAGGTGAGTTTAAGCGTATGTTTAGAGCAGCAAATAAATTTGTTTATGGGATTTCTAAAATTGTGCAAGTAGACAAATAATATCTTGTTTCTAGTTTCTTAGAAAAGTGTATAGGAAGCAGTCTACACGTATGATCAAGCTTCGCTATAATGATTATAAATCTATAACGTATAACATTGAAATAGAATGTTGAACATATTTTCATTATGTTTTAACTTAATAAATGGCGTATTAAAATCAAAGTTTACAAATGGGGTATTAAAAATCAATATTTACAAATGGCGTATTAGATTAAAAGTTTACAAATGGCGTATTTAAATTCAAAAATTACAAATGGCGTATTAATTTCTAAAGTTTACAAATGGCGTATCAAATTCAAAGTAACAAAACCATGCATTTTCGTTACAGACTATCCGGATAAGATGCTCTCCACCCGAGACCGGCAAAAATGGACCAATTATACAGTACAGAGTAGCGTACCGTGAACGGGATTTTAGAGATAACATTCTGACAGATGCAGATGACAACGAAGAATTAGATTATTATCTCAACGGTAAGATTCAAGATTCAAAATGAATTCCAGAAATTCGAGGAAATTCCTCTAAAACTGTGTAAATGACTTTTTTTATTCGACTTATTAAAATTGGTTGGTGTCTGATTTTAAAACTGATTCAAGGCATAAAAGGGCTTAGCATATAAGACATAGTTATTATATGAAAAAAAAAGGAAAACAAATTGAATTTAGGTTACACTTAATTACATTAAGGTCTTAAATAAAATACTACATGGCATTGTATTTTAAAAAGTATTTAAAGGCCCATTATGTCTCAGAAATGCTTTTATTTTCATTTCTCAGACTCTTTCTTTTTTATGTATTTCTATAATTTCCAAAAAAAATAACTCATTGACAAACAACTAGGATTGTCCTTTTCTTCTTTTTGTTTTTGGCAAATGAAAATAAACACTTTCAAAGCAACTCCATGCATAGCAAATCTTACCATCGGGTTGAACGCATCTTATCTAAATATGTTCTCTTGGTGCGGAGAGACTGGTCATTTCTTGTGAATAAAAACGAAAAATGACGCATAACTGTCTCTCTATATTTTGGTTATTTTCTGCCAACAGTTTGCACATAATTTGCGCCACAGCAGCCCTAATCTCTATAAATATTACGAAAATAAATATTAATGTATTAAAGGGACTCCACTGAGGTTTAAAAGCCTTAAAACATAACATTAGAATTTCTTACATAATTGAACTGTGGCGCTTTAAACAGAAATATATATGCAAAGATAAAATATAAAGAAATATACTTTAAAATAAATCAAAAATCGTAGTTTTATGCTTTTCTTAGCCTTATTTGAGTGAAAAGCGTTTAAAAGCTTTTCATTGTGGGTCATTTTTAAACAGTTTGAATAATTATTATGGAAAAACGAAGTGCGCGAATGATCTAAAAGTTTGCACAAAGATTCGTGGCCTACACCTACATCAATTGGTACATTTATCTGGAAAAACATTTTCAGTCCCATCATGTCAAAAATCCTCAGTGGAGTCCCTTTAAAATTTAACATGTAATCGTATATTTTCCAGGTTTAGAACAAGCAACAGTGTATGAGATCAGGGTTCGAGCTCTCACAGTGAATGGTTCCGGCCCTTGGTCGGCATGGTTACAAGAAAAAACGGCTAAACGATGTAAAATTATAATCTTTTTTTTATTTTGATATTTTTTATGCATAATTATCGTTTTAGCAATTTGTTCTATCTTTTTAAATTGTAACTTGCAAATGTTTGAATGCTAATAATTTTGATATGATTGAAACTATTGCAGAGCCAAATAACTCATTTGATGTTCTATACAATGAGTTTGAAACATTATTTAACAAACATGCGCCTGTAAAAGTAAAGCGTATTAAAAGGACTAAACAGCCAGATTTGTACTCTGACGAAATAAAAGAGGCCCGCATTAAGAGGTCTAAGTATAAAAGCTGTAAAAAGTGGATTAATCATAATTTATGGAGAAATAAATGTCATGTTGTAATTAAAAAGAGTAAGAAGATGTTTTCTAATAAGGTAGTTAAATATTCAAGAGATTGTAAATATGTATGGCATAATTTAAAAGACATATCAAATGAGAATAAGCAGCAACCGTCTTTAGCAATCACTTTAAACATTAATGATGGTCTGTTTGAAGGAAATGTGAATGTTGCAAATTTATGCATTTTAAATAAACGTTTTACAGAAATTTCCAAACTAATTAAGAAGTCTAATTATGTTAACAATTTTTTGTATTTTAAAAAATTTCTAGATCATAAACATAAAGATAAGCAATTTGACATTGATTTCATAACAGCATTTGAAGTAAGCAGCTATATTGACAACCTTGATAAAAATAAATCTTCTGGCATTGATGGAATTGGTCCTAATATGTTAAAACTATGTAAAGACTCTATAACGAGAGCAATAACTTCAATTATTAATAAGAGTATTTCACTAGGTATGTTCCCAGATAAACTGAAACTAGCACGTGTTATACCTTTACACAAAGGGGGAGATAAGTCAAACCCCAATAATTATAGGCCAATATCTATTCTCCCAACCATTTCAAAAATACTTGAAAGGCATGTTGCAAATCAGCTAAATAATTATCTTCATTATACCAATATCATTAATGAACACCAGTCAGGTTTCCGGAGACATCATTCTTGCCAAACGGCTTTGATCCGCCTTATAGATGCTTGGCTTACGAATATTGATGATGGAAATATAATAGGTGCTGTATTTTTAGATTTTAAAAAAGCCTTTGATTTAGTTGACCATAATATACTGATTCATAAATTAAAACTTTATCATTTTTCTGAAAACTCTGTACAATTTTTCCAGTCATATCTCTCTAACAGAGAGCAAATTGTAAAAATCAACAATGATAAATCTGAAAGCTTACCGGTTATATCAGGCGTGCCACAGGGCTCAATCTTAGGTCCTATACTGTTTCTTTTATATGTAAATGATATATCAGTCACTACGAATTCAGACATTGATATGTATGCAGACGATTCAACATTACACATAGCTGACCAAAGTTTGAGTAATATACAGTCTGAGTTGCAACTAGACTTACTAAAAATACAGGAATGGTGCACTCTCAATAATATGGCCATAAATCCAGAAAA